GGCCACATACAGTTGTCCATGCGAGAAGCACGGATTCTCGAAATTTAGCCCACACACTCGTAGCGATTGTCAGAAGCGCGATATTCCCCATTTTTATATATATATTTTTTAATCCTTTATAATTTTAATTATTTAATTGCTCCTTCCTCTCTTCCTTGGCATGTTGTGACATTTCTGATAGTTGGATAATAAACCGTTTTATTGTAATTTGTCTTTCTAAATTATTTTGAGTCGATATTAAAATTTGGAAAAGGGGGGATACTTAGATCGGTAAAATACGCGAATTTCCTCCTACAACTTCGGTTGTTGTTCAGGGTACAGTTGAGGTTTTAACGAAGTTTGAGCGAATACATAATTAGCAAAAAAGAAAGTTGAAATAAAGTGATTAAACAAAATTTATTACAAATATCATAAATAACAGTTCATAAATGCATATATAGAGATATTTTTTGAAGGTGAGAAATGGTCTTCACAATTTGAAATCGATCGAACACACTGTGCTCGAATGCTCGTGTAAACGCGCGCCATCTATCGTAGGATAAATGTACTATGCCAAAAACCTTTGCGAGAGTGTATTAAAAAACTTTCCGAAGTATTATGGCAATCGTACTATGCCACAAACCTTCGCCGGAGTATATTAAACAACTTCCCGAAGTTTCACGGCAATCGGATAAACGGTGTGGTAATGCATGAAGGACACACACACACACATTCATTTTTATATATATAGATTTAGAACTTCATTCACTTGTTACATTATAAAATAAGATACTGCTAAGTTGATGTTATGAAATAAAGTTTATATGGAGAAGTGTCTTTGAGAATTTTATCTTAATTTGGAAACAAATAGTAAAATAAATGCAAAATAATAACAGAAAAGGAATAATACAGTAGTTAAAAGATTCACTTGCTTTTTTTTGTGTTTAAATTAAAAGTTAACAATGATTGAAGATTTTTTTAAGTAACCCCTTTAGTCTTTTGGCCATTAAGATAGCATTTTAATCATGCCCATCGTTAGTTTGATTGTATTCAAAACAGAGGCAGTCTGGTGGCAAGGAATGAGGTCTAACATTTACATCAGTTCACCTGCAAAAGTTTGATCAATTAAACCCGAATTAACATTTCCAGAATTGCTTTGGTTAGTGCCTTTACTGTCTTGGCTGTACAGCTATTGTTATCTGCAGTTACTGTTGTTTCAACATTGTTTAAGTAGTGAAGTAATAAATTTTATAGTATGTTTCACAAATCTTGGCTTAGCTGCTTTAATTTATGGTAGCAAGGATAAGTGTGCTAGTATTTGAAGGGTACAGGGTTTATTTTTTTTTTCTTTCCTTGCTTTTTTAACTGCTTCTTCCAATCATTCTTCTCTTGGATCTCCCTCATCTGCTAGAACTATTTTGTTTAGAAGTTACTCAACATCTTGAACACAGCTGTGGAAGTGATGTTCTTTTTGGATAATTTTCAACATTTTAAAAGTGTAGTAGAGTTTCTGGTCCAGTGATTTCCTTCCTATCGCCAAAGGAGCCTCTTTGATTGCATGGGGACTGAAATTAACTTTGTTTTCTTTCTTTATTAATGGGAGAATTGCTTGGGAATGTTCCCATTGTTCTCCCATTCTACAGGAATCCCATTGTTCTCCCATTCTACAGGAATGGGAGAACAATCTACTTTAATTCTGAAGAAGCTAATCATCATGAGCAATATTCCCATTGATAAAAGAGGATTACGGGACTCAAAGCACATCTCAGATCTGATGTATGCTCTATTTGAACACTTTAAGATCCTTGTTCGAGTAAGCATAGCTTCTGGCCAGGATGCATAATGTGTTAAACATTTCAACAAACACTAAGTTTATATATTATCAAAGTCCAAGAAATTAGATAATTATAATTGTTTAAAAGTTTATTTAATAAAGTAATGATCAGCTAAATAATTTTCTAAACTAATAATTTAATATACTGAAAAAAAACCGGATTAAAATTACTTATGCAATGACTTAAGATTATTAGATTATGAACTAATTAAAATTTCAAAATATTTTTTCATTTATTATTAAATAAAATACAATGAAGAATTAATTAAATATAACTCTGATATTAAAAGTATATAAATTCTAACTGTTTCTTTTTTTATAGTCCTGTTTTTGATGGATTGTATGATTTCTGTTCTATGTATACCGGTGCTTCATTGGAAGGAGCTGTGAAACTTAATAATCAAGTAAGTGTTAATGTATTGTATAAACCTTTGTCACATTGCAACTGATTCTGTAATTTAATTACAGAGGACATTAAACAGTAAAAATAAATTTATAACAATAATTGCAATATAAATACAGTGTATTGTTTATATCAGATTACAGTAAATTGATATGCATCAAATATAATGGATGAAATGAAACTGAAACTATGTAATATTGAATTATTTCCTTTTCAATTCTTAAACAAGTTTTATGTAAGTTTTGAAAAGAAAAAGGAGCTAATTTTTTATTGTTTACACTTTGTACATATTCTTTACTGTAAGAATAAAATTTATTCTAATGAAGTCTTTGTGCTCCTTTCAAATAAGTTGCTTTATATCTACATCCTCTTCCAAAAATTACAATAATTATCAAGATGGGGAAATTTATATGAAAGAGAATGAATGAATAATAATGATAGAAAATTTAATTTTTTTAATTACAGTTTTTATAAGTAATATAAAACATTATTTTTCTTTTTAACATAGTATCATACAGCTATGCTCAAACTTCTGAACTGCAGCCACTGACAGAAACATAAAAAATGGTTTTTGGAAGGAAACTGAAAACTGAATTAAATTTAATTTATTAATTTTAACATTGCTAGAAATACAAACTTTTTTGTACAAAATGTCCTTCTTGAATGTGCAGAGAATGCCAAAAAGTACACATATAGATTGATTTTTTATTGTAGGCACCTAACTTAAATATCTAAAACAGTATTTTTCAACTTTTTTTTTATCTCATGGCACACTTGAACCTATAATTAAATTTCTACAGAAGAAATCGCATGATTTAAAGTTGTGTTTATAAGTATTCTATAAACATATCATTATAAACATTCTATCTGGTGATTTTAGAAACGCAATTGCCACTTAATCTAATTCTTTTGTCTATATTTTTTGTGAATTAAATAAAACAGTATTGTTGTTCCTTAAAAAATAGCAGCAGGTTACAATAATAGTTATTTAAATTAATAATTTTCATTTACATAAGAAAAACAATTAACATTAATTCTTAATTTGCATTTAAAAGCAGTTTGATAATTTCCTTTAGAAACCTGCCCAATTTTCCACTATTTCTAAGTTAAAATAATTTGAACTAAATATGGATTATCATAGATGCAGAACAAAACAGAAATCTTAATATTAAATTTATTGATAGTTACAAACTTTTATCAGTAAATGCCATTCTTCTGTCAATCAATAGGTGTGGTTTAAATTAAAAAATAATGGCTATTGATGGTGGTTGTTGCATGACTCATATTTTTTCCTTCGTAGACAAAATAAATTACGATTAATTGAAGTACAGTAGAACATTGATTATCTGAATCAATTGGGGACTGGGGTTGTTCGGAAAATTGATTTTTCGGATAACCAATTATGTACAAAAAAATATATAAACCTATCCCACGTTGAAATTCGTTCAAATCCTGGCACATCTTTAAGTACCCTCTCATAGTCGCGCCAGTGCTGCCAGCTAAAACACGCATACCAACAAAAATAATAATGAAGTAGCCCGAGACAAAGCCAAAGATTGTAGTGCCACAGCACTAACGGAAATTTAAATTTGCCAACTGGAAAGCTTTTGGTTAATTGATGTTTCGGTTGATCGACATTCAGATAATCGATGCTTTACTATAGTTGTATTTCTAAAGAAGATTGTTTTAAAAGTCAGTAAGTATACATAAGTAAAAGAATTAAGTTAAAATGATTAAAATTAAATGTAGATTTAAAATAGAATGCAATACTTACTATTAATGTCCTGTCCAGAAATTTGGCAGGAGGGATTTTTGAGACGAGTTGTTTTATGAAAGGGGTTATTTGAAAATTGCACACATTATTCTTTTGTAAATGATAAAAAGAAAGGGAAGCACTCATTCTGTACCTGCCTGAGTTGTGAGGAGTGTTTTCTTGCAGTCAAAAAATTCCCCAAATTTTCTACTATACTATGTTTGGGTTCATTTAGCTTCAAAATAAACTACATATAAAAATTGCCTGAATTTGTTTGTGTTTGTGATTATAATTGTTATTTTAAGAAATAACAATTATAATCTTTCAAAGCAAACACTTTTATGTAATTTTAAATTTGAAATTTATGAATGATTTTCATTGATAAATTTTAACTTTGTCATTAATGGGAAATGTATATGGATGTGGTGACAAACAGTTCTTCTTTTCATGTCCATTTACTAAGGATTAGACTTCCCTCTGGTATTTTGCACATTTGTATATACAGTCGACCCTCCTGTAATGCGGGTTCATATAAAGATGCTAAAAGATACTTGTAAAATGCGGTAAAATGTCATCGCTGACTCATGTCACGACAGGATTGATCAAATCTGGACCAATAGTGGACAAGCAGTCTAACTACTTACACGCTACGGAAGTTTAGGCGGGTAAGTTGAGTTTACTATCGTCTGTACAGTATATAAATTAGGTACTGTAAGTCTGATACAGTACTGTAATTTTATACATTTCTTGTGAAAAAATTTCTTATTCAACGGCTGTAAAAATTATTTCTATTAATGATGTCTCCAAAGTTCAACAAATTTTTCACAGAAAAATAACTTATCAGAAAACGCACCTGCTGTTTGGTGCGCTGCTCTGCGATGAAAACAAGCTTAAGCAATAGCATCGTCGAACAGTGCACACTCGGTAAGTAATCGTACAATTTTTTGTTTATAGCATAGTTTATACGGATTATTCCCAAAAAATTATACGTGTTTTGGAAATGTTGAGTCGAATTAGTCTAGAATCGATTAATTTTATGATAGAAAACCTTTCAAACAGCCATAGTCCGTAAACTGCACACATGCAGGGATTGTTTACGGACTGTGATTGGCTCATGTATTTGAGGATTCCTACAATGTGAAATTCTTATAAAGTGGAACGTATCTACTGCATTATGGGGGTCGACTGTATAAACATCCCAAATCCTGATGTATTAATACTAAACCAAATGATTGCTGTAATTAATCAGGCTATTATATGCTACAANAAAAATTCCATGTGGCCAGCCCATTGGTGATGCACAAACCCACAACCAACTGCCAGTGTTTGGTGGTTTTTATCCACTCAGTCACTGGTGGGCACTTATTAAAATTTAAAAAGTATCATTTAGAAATTAAAAAACAAGAGTTGTCAAATGTTCAGATGTGAAAAATTAAATACTTAAACAGTTTTCACAGTGTAACACTTTATGACTCTAGGCAGGTGAGTGCTACTCATCTACTTTGTGTAATATCATTGTCACAGTAATTAAGTGAATATAATATATATTTAAAATTAAATAATTTTTTTGTATGAATTATATTTAGTTTATTATTTTTAAAATTTTTGCCAATAGACGGTGCTACATGTAAAGCCAGAAAATCAAACGTAGACAAAAATTAATTGCCAAATAAAAATTCAATCAATATTTTTGGGGTGTTATATATGACATTATCTAAGTTAGAAGTATGTTAATGTAACCACCAAGTTTTGTAGCAATTGGTCAAGTGGCCTAAGAGAGCATAATAAACAAAAAAACAAATATCCTCATTTTTATATATAGATAAAATGTATAATAAATTTAAAACATACAAACTTACTTCTATTGGATTTAAAATGTTAATTTTTGAAATCATTTTCATATATGTTTGGCTGTCTGCAAATTGCGAAAGATGTATTACAGGATTTTTTAAATCAAGACTTGCTATTCCAATCTCTCCTCGCCCAATACCTCTTCCTTCAACAATTGCTTTAAAACATTATATATAATATAATTGTTTAAAATCATCTTCATTGAAATTTTCAATTTAAAATTCAAAAATGTTAAATTTATTTCGGTTACTAAAATATTTATATATTTATGTAATGAAAGTAATACCTGTAATAACTGATCCTTTCAATAACTGGGGGGTAATACTTGATGTAGATAAATCTGATGTTTTATATTGATGTGAAGAACTTTTAGCTGAAGAATGTTTTGAAGTTGAATGAAGTTTTGGAGTTATATAATAGGGAGTTCTCTTAATTGTACTAGTACTACTACTGTTACAATTGCTAAAAAAAATGTAAACTGTAGATTAACTCAATATAAAAAATGGAAAGTACTTAATTTTTAATTATTAATTGTAGCATAAAATAACCCAATTAATTACGGTAATCATTTGGTTTAGTATTTTGCACATTGTATGATCTTGTCTGTTACCTTGTCCAGGTCAGATTTGGTGCAAAGGGCAGACATGCTCTTAAATGATTCATGGTTTGCCATTCTCCATATTCATGAGTTGGTGATATATCCCCATTTTTAAGATTATTCTCTGTCTTTCCAATTTTGGTGCAAACTGTTTTAGAGTTTACCAGATGTGTTATAACCAGCCGATAGCTTAAATATTCAAACCAGAAAACAACTATCTTTTGTTTTGATCTGATCTTTTACTTGTTCACACTGAGGCCGAGTTTTTTTCTAGTTGTTGAGCAAATGGAGTTGCCATTTTCACGAATCTTCTACTAGATTTAAGCCATTGTTTTGATGTAGTGCAATCATGGAGGGAATGCCTAGCATCATTCAGTTGTTTTGTTTGTTTAGTTATTGCTTGTTACGACTGCTCTTTGGATGTTGGGTGAGGTAATGCCAGCAATAATGCACAGATATTCTGTTGGTGCTGGTTTAATGCTTTCATTTGGAAGATAAATAGTTTATACAAGCGTATACCTGTTTTTGTCATAATATAGTGGATTATATTGATATGAAGCTTCCAAACCTGTTGCACCTTTTATCCAAATACTACTAAACAATTATTTTGTCTCAGCAGTTTTAAATCTAAACAAAAAACCAGCTAAATTGATTACTTTGATAGATGATGCCACATGAAAAACCAGTAGCTTATTGATATTGATTAACTTTGCATAGCGCATTGGCATTTTCTGTACATCATTATGAATTTGTTGAAAGGTGAAAAATGGGATTTTTAGCAGCTAAAACCAATCATTGTTAGAAGTTCATTTTATATGCACGTTTGTTCAAAAAGAAATACTCTTGGAAAAATGGATGCTATTCAGAAGTGGTTGTTGTTGGAAGTTTGACCGTAATTTTGATTTTATTTAATTGTTTATTTATCTTTGTTTTTCACTTTTCTCACCAAAATAAAATTAAATTTTTTTGTCTTAAAATTCTTAATACTTAAACACTTTTAATTCTGCATAATTAAAAGTGCTGTTAGAAAATTAGTTTTATTTTGATATATATAAAAAATTAATTTCATTTTTATTTTATTTTCAAGTGCTCTGATATAGTTATTAATTGGTCAGGCGGACTTCATCATGCAAAGAAATTTGAGGTAATAATAATGTGATGATAATTTTAAATAGAATTATTGTCTTTATAAAATTAAGTTTTAATCTTATTAAATATCTTTATACTATTGAGGATAATATAAATTCATTCGTTAATTATTTTTATGCTTAAATAAAAGTAATTTCTTAACCCACCATGTGCCAATTTTCTCTTGCTCTCTTCCTTCCTATAAATATATATTTTCTCTGCATAACTTACATTCTCCTTTTTTCTTGACACACCTAATATTCTAGTTTGCCCCATTCCACATTATCTTGATCAAGAAAGCAGATAGTTGTATTTGTTTGGTGAATTTGTAGAATAAATTTGTGGATTATTTTAAAGATCTTGTTAACAAAAGAAGTATTGATTCATTTTATAATAAAAGAAATCTTTTATAAACTGTATCTTGTTAAACACTACATAAAATACTTCTGTGGCCACAAGTACTTTTATCTAAATGACAATTGTTACTCAAAATTAAATATAAACTTTCAAACTTATGAATTTGCAACTGATGCGCAATGTCTTAATAAGTTTTGCCATTGGGTTACTGTAGAATTTGTTAAGATATAATCCCTTAAACATATAAATAAGATTATTTAACATACAAATATATAGTTATTACATGGAAATTTAAATTATTTTATTCTAAAATAAATGTTAATTATGTTGATGATATGAAACCGTGCTTTACAATTTGTTTATGCTTCTAACACAATAAAGTGCTATAAATTAAGACACTTGGCAGGTTTTCTCATCTTTATTTAGTTGAAGCTCAACTAAATAAAGATGAGAAAACCCACCAAGTGTCTTAATTTATAGCACTTTATTGTGTTAGAAGCATAAATAAAATGTTAATTATGTATTATTTTATATTACAGGCTTCTGGATTTTGTTATGTAAATGACATAGTTATTGCAATCTTGGAACTTTTAAAGTATGTATTTTTTATTATATGACACAATTACAGATTATTTTTTTTCTTCTAAATTATATAATTATAGATTAAATGTAGACAAAATTTTGCATGCTGTGAGATATTTACAACATATCTATATAATATATCAATCCATCAATTGATATTATAAATCAGTAGGAATACAAAAACCCTAAAATCAACTTATAAAATTTAAAATCAATTTACAAAATGATTTTAAATTTTGATTTATAAACTGAATGAAATGTCTGGAGAAGCATTTAAATAAAATTATTTTTATTTATATTTTCTCTTTCTACTCTGTGGGCACTATGCAGTTCTTTTTAATTATACCCATCATAGATTTGGCCAGGTTTACAGTTGAGGGACAGGTCCTGATCTATCCACAATAAGATTGACCATAAAAAATTCTATGGAGATGCTCGCTTGGATTTGATTTTGGACCTTCCAGAGTAATAAGCTGATGCCTTAACTGCCTCAGTGTTCCTGCCAGTGACCAAGTAGATAAAAACATCAAATCCGGGAAATTGGTCATAGGTTTGAACCATGCCAATGGGTTGGTCACATATTTTTCTGTGTTATCTTTATCTAGCACCTAAATAGGAGCCAGTTTCCCCATAGAAAGTTCTATCTAGGAGACATCGCTCACACATGGACAATCTGTCAAGATTGTCCATGTGTTGTATTGCCACATCTAATCAAAATCAGTCTTAATGTATTATTTAATTAGTATGCCTTTGGAAAAATTCAATATTTAATCTATAATAATTTTTTAATTTCTATTAGAAATATTAAATATTTACAAGTAAATTTTGATTTAATATAGAATATTCTGTTTACATTGTAAATTGAAACTATTCATATCATTCAGTATATAATTTAAATACAACAGATTACTCCAGAACATACTAATTAAACATAACTAATGACTGTTTCAGATATCATCCTAGAGTACTTTATGTAGATATAGACATTCATCATGGTGATGGCGTACAAGAAGCATTCTACCTCACGGATCGGGTTATGACCGTATCATTTCACAAATATGGAAATTATTTTTTTCCGGGAANTCATGATATTTCTAAGCCTTACTAGATACAGCAGTTCACTGAAATTTATAAAATAATATTAGATGATAAAGTTAATGTCACTTCTTTTGCTATAAATTAATATTAGAAAAATTTTTCATGTAAAAAAATACAATCTTTCATTTTCTCTTGTTACTACAACTGACATTAGTATTTTTATTATATTCATTTCTCCATATTTTCATTACATTTAAATGTTTAAATTTCGAGAAGTATTTTAAAATGTGTAAGAACATTTTTTAGGACAGTACCCCCAAATTTTATTATGAATGATTAAAATTTAATATTGTTTATCTTATTTCTTAAATAACAATTTACATAGTTTTGTTAGATGTGAAAATATCGTTTTGAAGTAGTTACTATATTTATACTGTAACTACTACTGAATTTTCAAAATAGTAAAATGGAACAATCACATATTTTATACAATTGTAATAAATAATAATATAATAAAAAATGTGAAAAAAATAACAAAATTATTACTATTATTATTATTATTTTACACTAACCTCTTTATTGTCAGAAAAATTTATGCATACATCTAATTTATCCCCCTTTACATCTGTTAAAGAAAGAAAATCTAATTAGCAACATTTTACTAAATGAAATTTTACTCTAATAACCAAAATAATGAAATAAAAAAATATATATATATATGTAGTACAATCCAAAAGTTTGGGGACTTGGCATAAAATTCCTTACCCTAAAAAGTTTATATTGCCGATGCACAATCACCTTCAAACTAATCACCTTGGGCGACTGTACACTTTTTCCAGTGGTCGTATAACTTCTGGAAGCACTGCTGGAAGCCACTTTTTGAAACCTCCCCTAAGGCCTCCTGCGATGCTGCTTTCACCTCATCTGATGACACAAAATGGCGCTAAATAAATAACACCACGTTTCATCACCTGCTATGATGTGGTTCAAAAATGATGGATTCTTATTGGCTTTGTTGATTAAATCACCCGATATTCTCATTCGTTCTTCCTTTTGTTCAGAAGTCAAAAGTCGAGGGACAATGTGCTGAGACACTCGGTGCATGTTAAGATNTGTACACTTTTTCCAGTGGTCGTATAACTTCTGGAAGCACTGCTGGAAGCCACTTTTTGAAACCTCCCCTAAGGCCTCCTGCGATGCTGCTTTCACCTCATCTGATGACACAAAATGGCGCTAAATAAATAACACCACGTTTCATCACCTGCTATGATGTGGTTCAAAAATGATGGATTCTTATTGGCTTTGTTGATTAAATCACCCGATATTCTCATTCGTTCTTCCTTTTGTTCAGAAGTCAAAAGTCGAGGGACAATGTGCTGAGACACTCGGTGCATGTTAAGATCTTCCGTTAAAATATGCTGGCAACTAGTCTTTGATAAGTGAGTAGTCGCAGCGATTTTTTTCAAGAGTTTGGTGATGATATTTGCAAACACATTGAGAGACTAACTCAACATTTTCCTTGTTCTGTGGAGTCGAAGGTCAGCCAGAGCATTCATCGTCTGCAATGGATTCTCGTCCCGTTTTAAAACGCCGATGTCATTTGTACACCTTTGATTTCACCTTGGTAGAATCACTGTACACCTTTCTTAACAATTTTAAAGTCTCCGTAGGTGTTTTACCTAAACGCTGACAAAATTTAATGTTGCAGTGCTGTTCTTGAAACTTCATTTTTATTATGTCGCAGAACAAAGGTAACTATCTCTGGAAGAAATCAGCAGTGCTCACGGCTTAATTACGTGACATGGGCAAAACAAACCTGAACACGTAGGAGTGGTTTGATAGAATCCATTTCATATGCTGTAACTTCAAATACATGCTTTTGTTGTCATAGATTACTGCAGTCCCCAAACTTTTGGATCATACCACGTATATTCAGTTATTAGCTACTTCATAAGAATACAGTGGAACCTCGGTATATGACCTTAGTCTGTTTCTGATGTTTGGACTTATATCGAACTGGACGTATACCAAACCAGCCTTTCCCATAAGAAGTAATGTAAAAATGATTAATCCGTTCTCATGTAAAAAAAAAAAATGGCTGGCTTTAAACATCTTGCTTTCCTGGCTAGTTCCTGCTTGATTTTTCATGAGATCAGCATGTATCTTTTAAGCTTTCTTGCAAATAATTGCTTCCATACGCTGTCTCCAGCACACTGTTTTTCAGTTATCCAAAGCAAAAGCATTTTCTCAACATGATCTAATGTCTTCGATCTCTGTTTAGAAATTGATTTAACCCCTTTCGCAACGTTAGCAGATTTAATAATGTCTTTATTTTTCACGATTGTCGATATCGTCGTTCTCGGAATACGGTATGCAACAGTTAAATCTCGAACACGCATGCCACCTTCATATTTCTCAACAATCTCTTTTTTCAGTTCCATTGTGATTCTAGTCATTTTTTTAGTTTTCTGTTGCTTTTCATTTGCCTTTTTGCAATTCATGATTAATAAAAATAATAAAATTTTACTTACAAATTAAAATCAGAAGAAATTTAACAAAGTTATAAACCGTTGCACCGCGAACGACTAGTCTGGTCTAGTATACCGATAGTGCTACTTGTTCATAAATGGTGCGTAGAATTAAGTCGTATACTGAACAAAAGTCGCGTACCGAGCAAAATTTGTTTCATCCAAACAGGACGTATTCTGAATTGGACGTATTCTAAAGCAGACGTATACCGAGGTACCACTGTATATATATTTTTTATAAAGTAGCTAATAACTGAATTAAATGAAATAGATGAAAATATAATAATTTATAAATGTTAAAATAATTTTGCATATTATTAATAAATATCAGGGTGATTAAAAAGTTCCAATGATCTTTAGCACTGGCAACACTGCTGTGTGCTGCAAATGAATTGTTATTTATGTCACCATCATCAAAGCACATACTGTCATTTTATAGAGATGTTGAGTCATTCCTTTGGTGAATATTGTTTTCCACAAGAAAGAATGACTGATGAAAAACTCATTTATTTGAGGCATTTTGTGTCATTATTGGACTGGAAACATGGATTCAGTGCAAGAGTGACAACAGAGAAATTTGTGGAATTGAAGGCCCAAGCAATGAGCAAGACAACTGCAGCTGAATGGTTTCACTGCTTAAACTATAAGAACACCATCCTCATAGACAAACCTCAGTCGGGATGATCATTGATGATGATGCCCTGCTCCAAGCTGTTCAACAGGAACCAGGCAACAGCACTTGCCCAATCAACCATTGTTTGACATTTGAAACACCTTGGCTTTTGCAGCAGAAGACCTCGAAGTATCCCATGAACCGATAGATCAGCAGGTACAAAGGAGGATACAAGTTTGTAATCAGATATTGCAAAATCCAAAAGATGATAGGTTCTGGCATAGGATCATAATGGTAAATGAAAAATGGATCTTTTTTCAGTAATCCTAACAGAGGAAACCAGTGGTTCTGACCGGGTGAAGTGTCAGCACAAGTTCAACAAGGACAGTTTGTGTAGTTCAGTAGACCATCCAAATTCCACAAAATGCAAAGCATGACTTTTCATTTTGTGGAATTTGGATGGTCCAGTGTATTGGGAGCTGGTTTCTAATGGCTGTGCTGTGGACGGCAACTCTATGCTGAGCAACTGGAATGGGTATTTGAAGTCCTGCACACTCACTATCCAGCATTGTTTAATCAAAAGTGTACGCTACTACAGTGTGATAATACTCCAGCACATTGTTCCAGAGTAGTCCAAGAAAAGTTAAATGAACTGGAAGGGATTAAAGTTTTGCCTCACCCAGAATACAGCCCTGACCTTGCTCCATCAGATTTTCACATCATCTGGTCATTGGTGCATTTTCTGAGAGGACATTCCTTCAATGCAGTGCATGATGTCAAAAATGGGTTTAGAGAGTTTTGGCATCAAAATCAACTGAGTGGTATTGCTGAGGAATCTGCCAACTTGCAGAAAGATAGAACAAGACCATGGCTAACAATGGCCTTTATTTTCAGGAATGACCACGTCTTTGTGTTTTATCTATATAAATATATAAAAACGGACATGTATGTCCCTATATTTCACTTTTCCACCAAAACTACACATCGCATGTGAATGGTGTTTGTATGTGGTGGTAGCCCCAAGTCTCCATTCATGCATAGGGGTGGTTGCGTCTCGATAGCTATAAGGGTGCAGAAGATATGGGGCTGAAAGTGGTTGAAAGTGGCTTTCTATTTCAAATGTTTTGTTCGAATTAAATTCGAACATAAAATTCGAATATTGGTTCGATTATAGAACGATTGTAAACGTTCCAGAAATGTTGAAAATAGTTTGTTTGACTTGACGTGAACAGGAGACGTTCAGAAATAGAATCGGGACCAGATCTCTAATCAGAAACGGGGGACCTAATTCTTGCACTCTGTGAAAACGGGTAAGATTGGCTATAATGTAATTATCTTAATCTTCACTATCGTTACTTTTTAAAAACCCAGCGAAGCGGGTCCTTGCAGCTAGATTCTAGATTACTTAGAAAAACAGTCTTTTATATATATATAAAAAACTATATTACATACAAATGTACGAACAAATAAAAACCCAGCGAAGCGGGTCCTTGCAGCTAGTTATGAATAAAATTTTGTATCATGTATCTGTGTCCAGGAACTGTTGAATCAACCTGATAATTATTATACATATACACAGTAATTAAGTGGTGATGTATGTAAAGTCTCAGAATTTTTCATACTGAAGATTTTTATTATTTTATATAATGACAAAGTAATGAATAAAGAGAATAAAATAAAAGTTATACATTAAATGCCCACATTAAATTTATCAGTGATAAGAATTGTTTTGATAATAATAATAATAATAATAATAACCATTTTGTTTTCAGACTACGTGAATGATAACATTCTAGTCTAGTATTGAATTTGTCTGTCTAATATTTCTATTTGTTTAAAATGTGTTCATGTATATTTGTTGAAAATTTACATAAAACTTCAATAAATTCAAATTATTTATCAAATATATCTAAATACAATAGAAGTTAAAATTGAAGACAATCTGTCAGTCACCCTCTATTCACTTCTACGCTCCAAAGTATATTCCAGGGAATGCCAACACGTAGACCGCGGTCGACCGCAAAGGTTTTGAAAGTAGCCCACGAAGCTAAAGTTGAACAATTTGCTTTCACTTAAATTAATGTTTAAAAATCTTAATTCAATAATTTATTCTTACAATAATAGTCTGTTTATGCAACGTACCCATACTGTTTGTATTTATCCCAAACAATGCAAATGAATGTTAATGCATGCGCATATAAAAATCCTAAAATTGTTTGCCCATATTCATAGTCGCCCGCAGACTATATTTTACCAAAAAAGTAGCCCTTAAGGGATAAAAGTTAGGCCACACCTGGTATATTCCATGACAGCCTGATCTTTCCTTTATATCAGGTCATCAAGAAATGTATTCCAGAACATAAAAGTGAATGAAAAGTAACTGTTTTGACAGACTTTGTCATCAATTTTAATCATTTACTATAAAATCAAAATCACTATCCAAGTGAAAGTTTAAAAAATAAAAAAAAAATATAGAAGTTAAGTTTAGATGTACTTCTGGATACTTGTAAAGACTTGTTTTCGAAGAACACCAACAAATTCTTTTTGATTTATACAAAGTAATTTTACAAAACAATAAGACATGTTTATTTTTAATATATGATTATAAATGAGAATTAATGTGAAATTTCCTTCAGACTAGGAAAGACTAACAATAAAAAAATATTCTAGTAGTATTCATAGAGCATCTCTCAGGCGGCATCATTCTCAACAGATTGCCCATGTGTTGTATTGCCACATTAATCAAACCAACCTTAATTTATCATTTAATCATAGATCATAGTACAGGGTATCTGAAAAGTTGCCGTGCTGTGAGAAATTTGTAATGACATTAAAGTTATACATACAGCATTTTATACAAGTTTTATGACCTGCATTTTCACTTTGCATTAGATGGTGTTACTGTTCATTCATAGATGTTCTGGTGTTTGGACTATAATTTTTGGAAGATTTCTTTGCCAATTGCATAATCTCATGGAATTTGGCCTGCTAGGTCTCTGGACCTCACTTCCTGAATTTTGGGGTGTTGGGGATATTTCTAGTATTTGCTGAAGCAGAAACTGCATTCGATCTGAAGGAGATAACTCGGTCTCCAAACAAGCTACTCGGCAAAGCTGGCCACCAATGGTCAACTTCCTAAACTTCTTATGTTAAAGAAAGTTTATGGCCTGACCAATCAATGACAGGACTACCGATTCAGTAGTGGTGTGAGATTTGCCTTATGTCATTAGACAACACTACACAAATCATCGATGACATTATTCAAATTAGATTTTAATGTGCTTGCGAGTAAGACTACTAACTGCTTTTTGGTACTTGTCACAATTCAATTTAAATTAAATTAATGAAAACATATTAATTGACATTTGCATAGTACAGAGTGAGGCAGAAAGGATGGACGTTTTTGAAATGGCTAGAATTTGCCACCAGGTGGAGTGACATGTGGCAGGAAGCGTGAAAGTAGTGAGGTCTTAGCATTGTCTTTTCAGTTGAAGGCACGGAGCCATGGATGTTAGAATACTGTGTGTTTGTGTACGTCTGAGGAAACAGTCATATGCTCAGTCGTACACATCTGATGAGAATACATTTTCGCATCCTTGCATACAATGGAAACATATTCTCATTAGACATGTGTGGTTTCAACAGGAGGGGTGATGGTACAGGCAGTTAGGGCATCAATTGATGTTATTTGTCATCTCTTTCTTGGTTGCCTCATTTTCAGGTTCAGTGACATTCATTGGCCTCCTCGTTCACCCGACCTATCCATGTGCGAAAATAATTTTTATTCAGAAACATTTCTAGTGAGATTCTACATCTTCGTGAAATTCATTATTCTCAGGTTTTTGTATTGGTGATATAGAAAATAGACACTACTACAGAGTGTGCAGTGAAAGAGTAGACATGAGTCAGCCCGAGCTGGAAGGATCTACAGGGTGGGAAAGAAAGTCACTTAACACACCTTCTACAGAATATAGAATATACCGAAAGTTAATTCGCTCATGTCAAAAACACATTAGACACAGAGGAAACATTGTGTGTTACAGGCAATGCCACAATCTTGATTATAACTCTAAACTGTAGATGGGAAGGAAATCGTCTGACATGTCATTTAGGGTCAGAATTTACTACTAGAGGTAGACATTAGGTACCATCTCTTATCTAAATTAATAAATATAATTTTAATAGTATATTAAATAATTTAGAATCATATGGAAGAGATGTGGAATATAAGAGTATTAATCATTAAAATTGCAGATTTATAGCCTGATTATTTAAGGCCATTGTTTTATTATGTATCTATATAATAAAACAATGGGCTTATAATATTAAAATATCGGGCTTTGGGATGTTTGATATAGTTTAGTTTACTTTATTCGTATTATAAATTAAATTTTAAAATTTTTTAACATTCTTAGGTGATATGTATGAAATTGGTGCCGAAACGGGACGGTATTATTCAGTTAATGTGCCTTTAAAGGAAGGAATCGACGATCAGAGTAAGTTTTAAACCTATAATTATTTACACATAAACTATTTGTACAGTACATTGAGAACAGACCTTGTACAACGTTATTCATTAATAAAATTATTGTTTACTGCATTTAGAGAGCTTATTGTAAGTAGTCATTTATATCTTGTATCCAGTTACATGCAACGAACCTTAAACACGCTTCCAGCAGGAAAACATTTTTAAATTTTTACAATAGCAAATGTTTTTGGTCTTTTTTCGTAGGCCTGCATCAAGCTTATGCAGAAGAAACATAAATTCAAACTGAGACTTCCAGATTTAGAATGTTTCTTGAGATTTTTTTTCGTATCATAGCATTTAAATAATTACAGGATGTTTTTTTGAAACTATACACGTTCACCTACAGCAAAAATTATTATGTAATAGAATTTTTATGTAATTCTAAAATACAATCTTAAATACAATCAACTAGGAAGATGCAAAACTAGAAAAATCTTTGATTTAAAAGATAAGAAGTCTGGAGGGGTGGAAATTTTTAATATAACAGTTAACATGTAAGTAATAAGGATGGTGAGATAATACCTATGGTATGGCGATCATTGGTAGACAACCGTCTGAAAGGAAACAGTACTAAGGCAATGAAAAATTTGCATGCAATTCCCATCCATTGTTTATTAAATTTGAAATTTGGTGATATTTAGGATTAAGTGAAAAATTTCTATTATATAATATAATAATTCTTTGCGTAAGTTGGCAGATCAGATCTCATTATAGATTTGGCCCATTTGTGTGGACAAAAATCGAGATCGGATAGTCCGTGGAGAAATGATCTCTCATGTCAATAAATTAATCGATTTTTATTTGAAGAAGTGATATATAATACAAGATACTCCAATATATTTATATTTTTTCATTTTATTTGTTGTTTTGCAGGTTATTTTCAAGTTTTTAAACCAGTTATTCAATCAGTTATGGAGTTCTATCAACCTACTTGTATTGTTTTACAGGTATGAATATTTGATTAAAATAATTTATAGATTTAATAACATTTTATTGAAAAATAGACTTTTTGTAATGAGATAATGTAAATTGGTTAGATAATGCATGAATAAACCAATATTTGAAACTGCGAAAAGAAATTTTATTCAAAAATTAGTCAAATAATTGATTTTGAACTCAATTTAATTTTAAAATTAAATCTTTGACTTTTAGTGTGGTGCCGACTCCTTAGCCGGAGACAGATTAGGATGTTTCAATTTAAGTATAAAAGGACATGGGTATGTTAATTTAATATATTTAATAATTTAAATAGCTTCTGTTACTTACAGATTTAGTAGAATATTATTTTAATCACTCTGGGATTTTCCACACCCATGCACAGTAACCGAATGATAATGTTAAGCAGAATAAATAAGACTTGATGGAGGAAATTCTGATTTTATTGACTCTGACATTAAGAAGACTAATGATAAAAACAATTAAATTACCTATAACATAAAGATATATTAATTCTAACTACTGTACACTCTTGTTAATCCAGTCTTTCAATTATCTGACATATCTTCAGTGTGATAACCTGTACTCTTCTGTTTTCCGAAAATGTTAGTTGTGTCACACGTCCCAGTTTTTCATTTATTTGGTTTTCGTTTTGGCATTTGTGTCAGCGTCCCGTATTGTTTGACCTGCCTGCATCCATAAAGAATTCATACTAAAGAGCAAGGTGTCACACATTTGTGCCTTTTACAGCCTCTAGGCCTATATACACTTGGGTGATCTGGTACTCTTGTTAATCTGGCATTCCTCTGTGCAAGGAATAGCCAGATTAACAGGAGTCTAGTGTATTAATTAATATGCAATACACTCTTGCTAATCAGCCATTCTTGCACAGAGGAGTACGAGATTAGCAAGCTTGCTGGATTACTGAGTAGTTCATTATTATTATTTTTTTTTTATTCAATCAAAAATATTTTTATAAATCATTAAGTCTTAATAATGCACAAATAATCAGGTTTATTTTTATCTTGTTCTAGTGAATGTGTCAAATTTGTTAAAGAATTAAATCTTCCCTTACTTGTTCTCGGTGGCGGCGGCTACACCGTTCGTAATGTGGCTCGATGTTGGACGTACGAAACTTCGTTACTAGTAGAAGAAGCCGTCAGTAGCGAAATACCTTACAATGGTATGATTTTTATTTTCTTTATATTAATTTATATTCAAAATAATGTTTGTTAATTCAGTAGATTATAAAGGTATATGTTCTAACGGCAAAATTTTTATGTAGAATATTTTGAATACTTTGCACCTGACTTTACATTGCATCCTGAAGTTGTTACAAGGCAAGAAAATGCAAATAGTAAACAGGTAATTTATTCTTGTTAACAAATTTTAGTTAAAAAATAATTGAAATTTATAATTTTATCAACTAAAATATTCAATTTTAGGAATTTTTTTTACACATGGAATTTAATTAAAGGTTTATTATATTTTACAGTATCTGGATGCTATTGTAAAAGCAGTGACAGAGAATCTAAAATGTCTTGCTCATGCTCCCAGCGTGCAGATGCAAGATGTTCCTCCGGATATGTTAAATTTAGAAAATACTGAAGAACCGAATTTAGACTCGCGTGGTTCTCAGAACGAGACAGAAACAAAGTAAATTAAAAAAATTTTTTTTTTGTATTCTTGTAATCAATTATCATAGATTTATACCAAATTTTTCTTAAAAATTTATACAAAAATTTCTTCATTTTAATTAAATTTTACAGGTATTTAAACTGTTTATGGAGCTTGTTTATTTACTTAAATCTTGAATAGAGGCCAGCATATTTTCAACTTTCTAAGATACGGAAGCTTTCTGAAGCAAACAAAAACGTCATTTAATTAACTAAAGAAGCCTTAATTTAACATTACACAAACGCTTTTGAAGCTTTCAGCTTATTCTCGGATGCATTGTTTGACTTTTGTTTGAATAAAATTAAACAGAAAGGGTATTTGGTAGAATCGAGTAAAGAACAGACGATGCATTCGAGACAAAGCTAATAATTCATTTATTTAGTTTAGAACTCAAAACGTTTTTTAGCATTTACATGAACAACATTTTAATTTGGTTTAGCAAAGAAACACTTTGTCCTACATTTTCAAATTTATATACTTTATAATCCTATTTTACTTCCTGGATCTATGTCTTTCTTTTACACTAGACAAATTTATTGTTTATTAAGTATTTCTGATGAAAAGTTATTGTTTCCTATCATTTTGTTTGTTTTTTGTTACATTTTTATTTAAATGATTCTTCATTTTTAACATTCTCTAAAATATTTAACACTTATTTTTACATTTCCCATCTTTTGATATCATTTATTCTTTTGTATTTAGATTAATGTGAAGATAGCTTATTTCCTCTTTCATTTTATTGATTACTTACTATGGAAGATAAGATATTGACTCATTCTCAATTCCATTTTTGCTATTCTCCTTATAATCTCTTGATTCCTGAAAGCTGTGATAACAAATTTCCATTTAAAGCATTCATTTGAATTTAAAATGTAATTTATGAAATTTAATCTACAAAATCTCTCCTAAAATGTTATGCTTGCCTTCCGTTACATCATCAAATTATATGCAGTTTCTACATATGCAAAGTACAAATATGGAAAATGTCTTTAATCTTTATCTCTTAGCTCTTTGACTTTATCCTTGATCTCTCAACAATCTGTTCAGTGATGCTTTCTGACAATTTTCTTATTTTCTTAGACAAGATAATACGTAGATGTTCTCGCACTCAATTTCTTTAATTGCTAGATCCATATCTCAATTGTTTTTGTGATTACTACACAAAAAAAACCAATTATTTTTAATATTTCTTTCTAAAAACATTCATTTGTAATTTGTTATGAGCTTTTTCATTTTTTTAAATTATTTTAATTTACTTTTCTTTCTATTCTTGTTGATCAAATGGTGATGAAATCATTTGAGGACCTATACTCAAATCTAGTCAAACTGTCATAATTTATCATAGACTGTTATGATTGAAGTATTATGCTTTATCCTTCGGCTGTACTTTCCAATCCAGCTGTGGGTAAAGATCTGCCAGATAGTTTATATTCCAAGTGCTGCATGTCAAATTACAATTTTCTTGGAATTATATCTTTATCTTTCCTTAATTATTTCTTGCCTGCTTTTTATAACTGTTTTTTTTTTTTCTTTCTTTTTTAAGTCTTAATCCTCTTGAATGTAGAAAATCCAGTAACATAACAAGAAGCATACTTGTCTGCCTGCAAGAATTGCAGGTTTGAATCCTTTTCTGGGTCAATCTTTTCTACCAAATGTTTCTACAGTAGAGCCTCGATTATTCGACCTAATTGGGGACTGGGGTTGGTTGGAAAATTGAAAGGGCGGATAACCGAAAAGTATGAAAAAATCCATTATTAGTATAGTATATTATTATATTTCATGTAATTAGTATATTAGTATATTGCTATTAACCTACTTTGTGTTGAATTTTCATCGATGTTAAGCCTAACAAAAATTTTTTTAATAATAATCGTCGCTATTGTATCGTTAAAAATTAGAAAATTAAGCCTCGTTTAAATACTGGCTCCCTTTCATGGTCGAATGAGTGTTGCCAGCTAAAACACGTAAAAATAATATTAAAGTAGCCAAGACATAGCCAAATATTGTAGCGCCACATCACTAGCGGACATTTGAAATTTGCCGACTAGGACGGTCGGTTAACTGAGGGGTCGGTTGATTGGGGGTCGGATACTCGAGGCTCTACTGTATAATTATTAATTTATTCAAACAATTGAAATTGATGATAAAAATTAGTGTGTTGTAGCCAAATATTTTTAGTAATTAAATTATTTGCCCAATATATATATATGTAACCAAGCCATACTTTATTTCATGATAACATTTCCCTATCGGAAAGCAATTCAGTTCGCTTAAAAAAATAGAATTTTTATTTGTGTTTGCTTCTAGTTTTATTGGATAAAATGGAACAGATTCTTATTTAAAGATAGCAAATTGCAATTTTAAAATAAAAATTGATAGGCTTCAATTGAATATGTGACATTAAGTTATAATTAATGGTTTAGAATAAATATACAAGTTTTAAATACATCACAAATACAGATTTGTGGTGTACATATAGAACTTTATTATAATATAATTAACAATCCAAGATACATTTTTACATATATATTCTTACAGTTTTGGTATTATATAATGCTCTAGAAAGCCATAATAGTTTGAAGATTACTCCCATTCTTGTTTGTTATCCATTATACATAGTAGACAGTATGCTCTTTTGTATTGAAAAATCTGTCTTTGAATTATAGCAAGCTACAAAAATTTTACAATTGACAGTCACAAAATATATAAATTAATTTATTAAAAGTTATATTTAATGGACACTATTGTAAATTAGGTCATTCGTTTGAAAAATAATTAAATACCCAAAAGACGGATTAAGGTCAGACACAACAGGAAAAATGTATTATAACTAGTTCCTAAAATATAATTTTTCTGTTTTTAATCATTAAAAAGTGTTCTTTTTAAAAATTTTGTTCAAAATAAAATATAGATTACTTATAAAAAGTTTTAAAATCTTTTTTTTTTTTAATAGGCCAGAATATCCAAATGAATTTTATGACGGCGACAAAGATCAGGACAAAGATGCGGAAAATGTTGAAGTTTGACGGCGAAAGAAGAATAATTTTAAAATACTGTAAAGAACGTTGCCAAAATCCAAGTCGATAAATATACAATTTTAATAAGCGTTGCATCGTCTTGCTTAATTTCCCGACAGAAATATAAGTAATTATGGTTTTATTCGTTCCCAAATGCAACGCCGTTTTGTTCTTTACAAAAGAATCATCCTCATTATAAATTTGTTACTGTAAAATAGTAATTTCAATCATCTTTCATTTGTACTTTTACCCATAATTTACAATTACAAATGTAATTTTTACAATAGTTTTTTATGGCCGAACATTTTAAAATGTAATTTATAAGTATTAAGACCATTTCATTACATTATTTTATATAGTTAATAAAATTAGTTGCATTTAATTTATAAATTTCAATTTATTTTAAGTTTTAGAAGTCTGGGACTGTAAATCATTATACAATTTTTCCACAGTTATGTTTGATTATTGTATGTTCCCAAAAACAATACAAGTATCATTAAAATAATTTTTATGAATATAATTTTTAACGTTTATGCTCTCGTTAATTCATGTAATAATGCCTCGGGTATCTCAAGTTGGTAACGGTGACCTTCTGAGAAATAAAGCGAAGATGCTCGGATACATTAATTTACTCAAATTTTTAAACAGTTTAGGTACTTAAAAGACCTCTGAACAACAAAATTTATCAATAGAAGGTGGTGTAATGGCTAGAACGCCGTGGCTACAAAATCATTAAAGAAGTTACCTGTATGCTCTGCTCCATTGCTATACAAATTAAAATTTTTCTTTGCATTCTTCTAGACAATCTTCCATATTGTCAGTTATAAATCATTAAAGCAGTCTTTTGTAATTGTTTTTAAGTTGAGGTTGTACGACGATGTGTAGAAATTCCTCACAATGCCGCAAAGAAAATTCTCTGGATTTTGAGAGGCTCCACAACTGATCTGCTATTCCATTGAGCTATTCTTTAATCAACATCCAGATCAATCTTCCACACTAATTTTTGAATTTTTTCAAGTGAAAACACTCAAAAATCTTAAATTTTTATTAGTATTTAAAAAAAAAAATATTTTATACTTTATTAAAAGCATGATTTTAGGTATTTTAATTAAAAAATAAACCACCTTTTTATTATATTATTAAGCTAATAATAAATATAAATATATGATAAAATGTAAAGTTTATTATTAAGAAAAAAATCCTTAAAAAGTAAACAATTATTTATATTAAATTGTAATTAAATTTGAACAATTTTTAATTAATCCTGCACTGTATTTTTTTTTTTATTTTTATTTTAAAATCAATAAAAATTTGAACAACACTCAGTAAATTATTATATTTTATAAAAAAAATGCAATAACAAAATTAAGTATTATATACAGAAATAAAAATAATTTTATTCTATTTAAATTTCCACACCATAAAATCCATTTATTTCTTAATAATAAAAGAAAGGTATACAGATGTTACAACATCTGCTTCCTACAGAAAAAAAAAATACAGAATAAATTATTAATTTTTCATGTAAAAATGAAATTTCTACGAAATAAAAGTCAATTTTTATAGAAATTTATTAATACATAACTGTAAAATCTATTTTGGATCGTGTATAATTATAAAATATGTATATATATATATGATGCATACGCTCGTGCATTGCATACCAACCAGACGTTACACATCAAGGACACCTGTCCACAACCTCAAACGAGCCACAACGAACCTTGTCCCTCCTCGGCACAGATGTACTCCTGTTGTCATAACAGTTGCACCCCGCAATGGCGCACACTAGACTAATATACGTGTTGTTCAAGGAGGATGTTGTAAAGGTGAGTGTTATCCATACGTGTCTATAACGCGCACGCCGTTAAGCTTCGTTATATAAGTCTCGTAGGCGCTTAGAAATCGATTCTAAACAGGAAACAAATCCACAACTTAACGTCCAAACCCGTTTGTAGCGAATTAAACGTCTAAATTATTCGTAAAATCGAATATTTAGCGAGCTACTAGACGTCAATGACACTCACAAAGCGGCTTAGTTGAGTCTGTCCGAACGCTCTTATCACATGGTTACACTCGAGAGTTGTTAATTTAATACGTTGTAGAGGTGTTTACGATGCTCTTGCGACGATAATTATGTAAAAATTTGTTAATATTTTAAATTAAATTAGCGTATAGAAGCGTGGGGTGATCACCGGGGATGTGTTTGTTTGTATATGTTTTCTCTTCACCACCCCGGTTTAAAATTCGTAGAAACTGGTTTCGTGTCATCGAATAGTTTAAAAAAATTCACAATTTAATTCCTAGAATTTCCTCCTGTGTAGATTATGTATACACTTTCGGGTCTTATCCGGTCGTTAAATGGGTATATAACATGCAACGTGCAACAATGCTGATGTCACAATGATAGAAAAGAGACTATCCAATCATAAATTTCGATTATTATATAACATTAATGATCTAAAACTCGTTCCTTAACTATTCTAAGAAAGTCTTGAGGTGACCTTCGTGCTTTTTTAGAACAATAAAAGTTTGTTAAGGTGCCACGTATATAAATTCAATGAAAATCCCAACTAGTGTGTGATGGTTTGTGTGGGGGTGAATACTTTCCTTTGTTTTTACGCGCCTTACATTTAAATTATGAAGTGTTTTTGGTGTTTGGGAGGGCCTAAAGTATTGAAAAAATCTGTTTCGATAAAAAATTTGGGGGTTAGAATTCGAGAGAAACATGTTTAAAGTTAGCGAAAGTAAGGTGTGATGTGTATTTGGAAGGAAAAAAATGAGACTCTCATTGACCTAGTTTTCAACGCACACACACACGGAGACACACACCTTCCTGTGTGTTTAAAGCAAGGTCGAGATCGATCAGATCGATCATCCAAGCGACTGGATTGAATAGAGATCCTGTATCCAGAAAATAAAAATAAAAAAAATTAGGACAATTCACACTGTTGCTGTATTAACTTAACACAGTAAAGAGGTGTCAAGGACAGAATGAATAATGTCAAGTTTGTCTTCGCTTGGTTGAATAGGTAAAGTGTATTTTGACTTCTTTTTTTACGAGAATTTTTTTTTAGATTTACTTCTTTAATAAAAGGTTAAAAATACGTATCACGATTAGGAGCCATCTTGAACGATTCAACGAGGTATGACCTCGTTTGATCTTCAAAAAAATTCAAAATTTTTGCTTGTTTTCGTATAAAAATGGCTTTTTTAAATATTTATTTGACTTCCAAAACACCACAGAGATAAATTAGGAGCCATTTTGAATCCAAAAAATCGCCAAGATTAAACGAAAGTATGGCTTGGTTTGATCTTCAAAAAATTCAAAATTCCTCCTTTTTTCGATGTAAAAATGGCCTTTATCTGTTTACTTAACTCCCAAAAACACCAGAAAATGAAGGATAATTAGATAAATTATGATGAATTTAGCTTCTAACCTTCCTAGACACGCTATTCATTTAGAGGTGACATCATTTAGCTTTTAAATGTATCCTGAAAGAAATTTTTTTTTGATGATTCTAAGAAATTCAACTGTTTAATTTCAATTCTATAGTATAAGGAAAGATTTAATGAAGTTTTTAAAAGTATAAATTGCGAAATTTTGCTTTTGTATCGTTAGAAATGATCAGGATAACAGAGAAGAAAAGAGGGTGCCAATTATCTGATTCAATATTTAATTCTATACCTTTAGTCATTTAAACAAGGTCTTTTTTAGAATTTTATGAAGAATTAATTTCCTATTTCTCTATAGATTCTAAAAAAAAAATCACACGCTCATACACTCTTAACGATCCTAACGTGAAGAATTCCAATAACAAAAATACATCTGTACTTTATTTCATATCATTGTTTTTGTTTTTTATAGATATTTCGGGGGATTTTTTTTACTCTAACGTGTAATTTTTGAAGCATTAACCTCCTCCAGACGTCAGTAATGAAGGCTTTCGGGGGTATTTAACTCACCCTACTCTCATTAAGGTAGAGAGACGACATAATGGCATCCATCTCTCGACTTTTTATAACTAGATTTTTCTCAATTTTTGTATTATTTAATGATGTTTTTTTTCGTATATATATATATATATATTTAGATTTTTATCTATTTTAATTACTGTACGCACTAACGTTACGCGTAGACGAGCGTAAAATGGTATAGAATGTCAGGAAGTGCGAGTGATTTATACTGTATACGATAACGATGGGATCTGAAGTGTAAAATTTTGTGAGGAAAAGGGGTTAAATTACATAAACCAAAGGTTTTACATCCTTAGAATGAATTAAATAACATTTAAACAGCATTTTCTTTAAAAAAATTTGAATTTTGTAACCGTAAATTACCGATTTTAACGGTCTTTCAAGTTGCGGCAACGTTAAATTTAACAGTAGTAAGTTCTAGTTTTTAAAAATATTTGTTTATAAATGTGGAGTTTAAATGATTAATTATAGAAAATTTAATTAATTTATTATATATTTTAATCCCAGAACCGGTTTAAATTATTATAAGAAGGATAGAAGTTGTAAGAATGAGCTGTAAACATGGCTTCGTTTGCATGAAACAAAATCTGCTTTTGGATCCGAAAAACAGTTGTTAAGTTGATTTTTTTTGGATCTAAAACTCTAATTTATTCCCTAAAAATTTGTATTTTAGATGATAATGTGACGTGAAAGGACTTAGAAGAAGAATTTAATGACGATCTCTTTCGATACTCTGATCATCATCATCGTTGTTGTCAGTGCTTCTATTGTTATAGGAGTCATAGTTGCCTTGTGTTGGATGTAAGTCGCCATTTTTTTATGCCCTCGTTGAGAGTCAATTACTTAAATTTATGTTTAACAGGTGGAGAATCTTACGTCACGATAGAGATTGCGTCACTTTGCAGAATCCCTATAGCTGGAGTGTTGTACCACGTTGGCCCGCAGACACGTGCACACCCGCTGCAGCATCACCCGTTACAGACACGCCGTGTGATACTGCTCCATTAACTAACGATACAACGGCTGCGAGAGTGATACCCGCTCGAAGGGATAGCTCATATAGGGTTGCAACGGCTCCACCCTGGGAAGAAGTCATTTCTAGACACATGCCGGGGTCTGAAGTGTTAGTTATTGATGTAAGTTGTTTAAAAATCTTTAAAAATGTTAATCTTCAGCATGAATCATTACTTAAATCTCTTGTTTGAAAATATAGGGCACGGAGCCGCCGCCTCCTTATGCGGTTTAAAAACGGAAACATGATCTGCCTCCGTTTTTGGATGGTAAAATTTTTATTTGTTAATTTTTATACGTAAAAATTATCTCTGTAATAATAATAACTAAACTATTTTAATTTTAAGTCGTTTAAAAATTAAAATTTAGTTTAGTTATCGACGAATCAAAATGTTGTGGTGGCGCTGAAGAAGAGACATTGAGAAATGATTTTATCATCAAACCAAAAAATGAGTGTTTTTGTTGTAGAAAATTCTCAAATTGTTTAAATTAATATTGCTTTAAAATTTAATTTATTAAAAATATATAACACACTTAATTTTTTTAAAAAAATTTGATACCTGTATTTCATAAAGATCGTAGCTTGTTATTAATATGTGCTGCCATCTATAGTGGAAAAATGTCACTATCATTCGTGTTATTATTAATCGAGTGTCGGAAACATTTTAAACTATTTTTTATATATTTAGACATGTAAAAATATATTTTTCAATATATATAATAAAATCACATATAAATTATTTTTGGTATTATTAATTTTTAATAGCAATAAAAGTTTGAGTTAAAGGTCATATATATACAAAATGGCTTCCTACAATTCAAAAAAAATAAAATAAAATATATAAAAACCAGCACTTAATACACATTCTAAGGGTTTAACGATTTAAAACGTTTCAATAAAAGTTAAAGCTTGAAAGAGAAGATTTAACTGGCATTTCTCCGAGGAGCCATTTCCTCTTCACAGAAATACTACTTATTTCAAATATTTACAATTCCAGAAGGACGTGGGTCAATGTTTACGAGAAAATTTATCAGTTTTATTGACTTAAATGCTTATGTTATCCTTTATCTTTGTTGTAAATTTCTCAACTAAGTAGTAAAAGTTTTATGCCCTTATGAACTTCCAACTTGAAATGAGAGTTACGCTTCGTTAATTTTTATAGAAAGATAATTGTCTCGAAACTAAAGAAAAAGCAACGTTTTAAGATTATATTAAGCATACATTTAAGTATAATTTGCTGAAAATTTGGCCATTATACAAGTTTACCAAGATACAATTATCCGATTATTGCAGAACTCTGTATACAGCTATGTAAATGTTATAGTTGTAGTCTGATTGTATTCTATATAAAGGCTCGCGAAAGCTCACTGTGTTCAAAATTTTCAGTGTATTTGTTGTTTGAAAGTCTTCGAATCCTAGGCATGCCTTACAACACAATCAAAGACATTACGTACTGCTAATGGAGTTTTTTTTTACTGTTTTTGCCCCATGAGATTAACAGGATCTTTTTTCAGTTTCATCGTGAGTTCGGCTAGGCCTACAATGGGGCTGCCAGATGGCGAGGAACAAGGCTCGACGGACTTTCCTCTCAAAATTTCCGGAGATTTTCTATCCATCCGGATTCGTTTCTGGGCTCTCTAGTGTGATAAGCTATGATGGTGGAGTTTGATAAACGTGAAATACATACATGTATGACAGACTTGACGGCCCCAGAAGAGATGATCGTCTGATCGTGAGACAAGTATTAACATCTTCAATGGTGTCTCTGGTCGCCATGAACAGTAAGTTGGAAGTCTATCTCTTCCCATACCATTGGCAGGCAACTTTTGAAAACTCTTTTCATCCTGTGCGTACTAAGAAGATTTTTCCTCATACCCATCGTCACTCATACAATTAGGCAACTAGGGGTGAGGGACAGGCCCGACACATCCGGAATAGACCGTCAAGTTTTTACTCGCCCGGATTCAATCCTGGGTCTTTCAGTGGTAGTCGATACTAGGCAACTAGCAGAAATAAATATGCATGCACAAGGACCGCTATGCATCCTGCCGTTAGTGCCTCAGCAATGTTCAGTTTCGTTTGCAATGATGCCATGACAGAAGGATAGACTACTAAGGATTGGCAGCGTATTGTCTTTAGTGATGAATCCCGATTTTATTTGGAACGGATGACCACCGTTTTGAATGTGGAGTAGCCTGATGAGTGCTTTAATTACGCTTTTACTGTTGAGCTCTGCCCTGCTTGCCATCCTTAATAGAGGTATGAGAGACATTGTCAGCACAGCGGTACATTTAGGAAATCCTGTGCTCTCATTGCCTTATACGTGATGAGGCCTCAAACAGCCATTTACCAAACAGAATGCTCACGTCAGCTGAACACAATTAGGGTTTCCCAGGAATATCTCGTTTCGAAACTTGTTGGCTTGAGGGCAGATGGCCGAAAGGTTAAGATAACTACTAATTGCTATGGGTATCCGGAATCGTAATCCGGATGGGACAAAAAATTCTAGGAATTTTTTGGAAGCGCGTCCATCCAGATATACAAGGGAGGGGAGTGCAAAAGTAGGTATACAGTTATTATTATGGAAAAACATACAGGGAGAAGATAGGAAGAAAAAACATTTATTTTTATGTTCAAATTAATTCACAAATAAGGAGTACGAACTAATAAAAGATAATAATAATGAACACCAAACATTTGTATTTCTTTGATTCTTAACTGTATATCTACTTTTGCACCCTCATCCCTTACCATTCTGCCGTTTCATTGTGAGCCTGGCGGCACCATAATGGGCTCGCTAAAAAGACCCTCTTAATGCCCACAGGGTGGAAAGAGTAATAAAGAAAAGACACTTCTTTGACCTGCCTAGTCTTCGAATTTGTCACTCATCGAGCATTTGTAGGACCAGATAAAATGCCAAGTTCGGTCATCCTATGAATGAGGGATTTGGAACAGTAATTGCAACATCTGTAGCTAAATCTGTCGCATACTATGGCTGTATCGCTGCGAGTACACAGACAAAAGAAAGTCGTGCAAAATATTAAACGTTCTTTTAGAACCTCATACTACAAAGCTACAACTTCGAGCCTTAATGGGAGCCATATTTATAATATGGCTTCCATGAAATACAGTAATTTAGTCTACTTTCGTGATAAAGTTTACAATTTTTTGTGTATAATTAAGTGTTTCGCTGCTAATGGAGATTTTCTTGTTTTGAGTAAATTCTTCAATTGTTTGTAAAGTGTGAAATGTTTGTTCAATTCATATACTGTAAAGCGTTGATAATGTAAAAATAACTGAAATATTTATTAAACGTGAAATTCTAGGATACTTGATAATAAAATGGTGAGAAGATGTAACTTGATGCAAAGCGTGGTTAACTGTGGAATTAAATGTAAATAAGTACAAACTGTCTCACAGCATAGCAATGTTGCAAACTTTATAATGCACACTATATGATGAAAATAATGTGGTTACATGTAGTAAAGTATATAATATTTAATATATGGAAAACGTATGAGTGTTAAATGAATTGCTTGCAAAATGTGAAAGATATGATGGGAGCCATTGGGCCACCAGCACATTACATCTACATACAATCATTTAAAAATAATCGTAAAATCATGTAATATGCATGGTGGCTCATAGGGAAATTGGGAAGCTATGTGTGTTGAATAACCCTTGACCCATTAGAGATCATGGTGAGGATCTGTAATGGAATCTCTATTATAGAATGAAAATTTATCAGGGCCGTAATTCTTGTGGGAGGCCCTAAATATATATATAGATATAATTTTTAAAAAAAAGGGTACAGGTAATTTAATTTAGCAAAAAATATAGGAAGTATCTATGGTTACGTACGATAAAAATGTGGGACAAACATAAAGACACACGCACAGATAGTACATAGTGTAGAAAAATAAAAAAAGGATAAATTTATTGATTATTCGATAAAAATTTTGAACAAGAGCAATTAACAGTAAGCAGAAAGTAATAAGCAATTAAGAAAATTATCTTTAAAAAATAAATTTGAAACATTAAATATAAAAAAAAAATATTAGCATTAAAAAAATGAAAGTCGTCATTAAAATTAATTCACTCTGAAACATTTTTATTACTTGATAAATTTAGTTAATGCAAGTTTATTTACTGAAAATGCATGGACTGAAATTGTCGTCACGATAAGTCGATTGTAAAATTTGGTAAGAAAATCATTAAAAAATTTAGGAAAAATGTAAAAAGAAAAAAAAAATCAACATTTACAAAATTGAATGTGCATGAACAGACCAAAAGCCAAAGCCAGAGGATATTTAAGACCTTATTTCTCTCATCACAAAAAATAATGTATAATTTTAAGTAATGTTTAAGTCGAATATTTTTAAAAAATCAAAAATGGAACTGGCAACTTGGTGTGGCGTTTTGAAAAAAATGCCGATTTGGCAGCACTGATAATTAATAAGAAAATTCTTTTCATTATAAATGGCGGAGTACACGATTCTTTATTAAAAAAAATTAAGTTTAAGAAAAAAAATAAAAATTTTAACGTTAAATTAAGCGTTTATCAAATTTATTGCGTTGGATTAACAAAAAAGAGATAAAAGTTATTATTAAAAAAATTATTTTTTTTACCGTCGTATGAAATTAATGAACGCGTTTAAATAATTAATAAATCATTGACCACACCTTTTTGCATTAAAATTTAAAATACAGTTATTTATTAACCACCTAACGACCAATTTATTAACTTCATACTGATGAGCCGATTGTGTATGAAGTCACTCTTTCTCATAACTGCAGCTAATTCAGTTTTAAAGTACAGTAGTAAAATTTATTACGATTATAATGTGTTATGTCTTCGTATACATTAAATGTAATTGGTTAGATTACAATATGTCTGTTTTTAATTATAATAAACTGATACAAACATAATTTATTTCAACATTAGTAAATTGCGTAAAGTTACAGTAAAATGCATTTAAGAAGCATTAAATTACAATATAGCGTATTACAATGAACTCTATGCACTTAAATGCAATCTATATGAACTGTAAAGTATAATTAATTACACTTTATAATTGTAATTATATATAAACTGTAGAACTGTAGGGACCAGGTAATACAACGCATGAGTGATTTGCCATGAGTGGTGCCTCCCAGAGAGCTTTCTATGGGAAAGTGGCCTACTCAGGTGTTAGACACATGAAGCAAATCCGGAAATCACGTGGCCAACCCCCGTTGATGAGGCGCGAATCCGTGATTTTATCCACTCGGCCATCGATACCGGACCAGTAATGAATTATCTATACTGTTTTTCATAATTATATACACTTATAATCGAATAAATACCCTTTATTTTGCTTATTATAATTCATGAAACAATGTTTTTGGCCACAGTTTTGAAATGCCCCTTATTAAATTTAATTTTAATTAATGTAATAAAGTACATTAACCTGATTACAAATTTATCTAATCATGAATAATGATAGTAGATACAATTATTTATGATTACTTAATTACAAAGTATACCTAATTATTAATTAAATAATTATATTTACAGTTTATATAAAATGTAATTAAGCACTTTCAGTTAACTATAGTGTACTTAATTGTAATTTAAATGCTTCAAATGCATGCAAATAAACTTTATTTTAAGTTGAAATTAGTTATAATTAAATACAGATTAAAATGCAATGCATCTTATTAAATTTAATTATAATTAATCAATTAAAGTATACTTATCTGATTACACTTATTTTTATATACTGTATAAATAACTGTAGATGTAGATAATTATGTACTTATGGATTTAATGCAATTCATAATTGCATTAAATTCTTAATTAATTGTATCCGAGCAATATTAAGTGAATTGAATGAACTGCGTTGCTCTCTATTGCAATTTAAATGATTTCATCAGATATAGTTCGAAAGATACTTTGTTAAATTTAATTCTAATTAATAAAGTGCATTTACCTGTATATGTATAATTTCATAATTATGAAGCTACTGTATATTAAAACACTTAACAGTTTAAGTAAATTGCAATTGAATTTATTGAGTTGTACTGTGTTGTACTCTATTGAAATTAAAACGCTTTAAGTGAGAATTAATACAATTTCATCTATGGCAAAAGCATGCCATCAATGCAAGGAAGGCAAATGAGTTACACTTGCATAGGCTTATGCAAAGAGCTGTTTTATAGTCCACAGGATCCAGGTTCCAAACCAAGGAATTTGTTTCCTGAAGGTACAGCCAAAACAGCTCTTCAGAAGACGCTTTTGTTCGTCTGTATTCATCCGCACGCGATTGGTGACAAATTAATACTGCAAGGTGATAATGGCCACCCTCACACAGCTTGCGTAGTGCAGCAATACCTTGAAATGAAAACTATTATCCGTATGAATTGGCCAGTATCCCATCTGACCAAAATCCCACCGAGAATGTCTAGGATGCTCTTGATAGGCGTGTACTGTACTGCCCTCCATTCTCCCAAACTCTGTAGGGGCTTCGAACTGCTTTCTCAAAACAATTAATGTCGTTGTCTATGGATCTCATCGACGCCATCATTAACAGCATGAAACCTCGCTGTCAGTCCTGCATTGCTGTTCGGGCAACCATACACTTTACTGAGATAATTTTTTTCTATTTAATTTTAATTATTTGTGCAGCTAATACAGAATTGAAGTGTTTTGTAACAAAATGTTCTTGCAATTTCTAGTAAAATATGGCACTGTAAAGAATACCACCGAATTTCATTCAACTTCAATTTGCTACAATATCTTACAGAATTTTATTTTTTAATTCACAAAACTTATAAAAAAATATAATATCTCCATTTATAACCACTTAATTGTTTAGGAACCACTGTAAAGCCTATTCAAATTTTGTGGATACGTTCTTTATTGCATCCCATGTTAGCAGATATATAGATGTCGTATAGAAGCAAATGAAGCAATTCTGTCACATTCAGCTCTGATGTGACAGAATTGCCCAATAAATCTAACAACACATTACACAACACTATTATACAGACACGAAATGTATTGCTGCAATAGGCAATAAAATATTCATCCATAAATACTCCTCAATAAACCAGTTTATAGCGAACATACCTACTTTACAACGCAGTTGAAAGTAAATTAATTACTGTAATTAAATTAAAATTTTACACAGTTAATACAGTTAATACAATTAATACAGTTTTATAGTAGTTTACACTAAAGAGTCTCTCTCTTGCTCTCTTACATTGTAGAATTGCTCTAGATATTTAGAAATTGGTGTCTTTGAAAGAATTCAATTTTCTAAAAAATGTTTCTAAAGTGATGCACTAAATTATATTTTTAGGAATTAATTAATTGCTAATTAAGTTATTGCATTTTTTTTGCAAACTTCAAAAAAGCAAAATGAAGTTCAACTGCAAACTTCTAGAAATAAAATAAGATTAATTAATTTATATTCTTTGTTATTTACATTTTAATCTTATGTTACTGGTATTATTTTCGGGGAGGATATCATGTCTTATGACATTTCCTTTTGTATATGCAATTTAAAAAAATTTAATTTTAAATTAAAAAATGCAACAGTAAATGAAATAAAACGCAATTGAATAATTCAACAGAAAATTAAATAAAACGCAATTAAATAAATCAGCAGAAAATTAAATAAAACGCAATTGAATAACTCAACAGAAAATTAAATAAAACGCAATTGAATAATTCAACAGAAAATTAAATAAAACGCAATTGAATAAATCAGCAGAAAATTAAATAAAACGCAATTGAGTAACTCAACAGAAAATTAAATAAAACGCAATTGAATAAATCAGCAGAAAATTAAATAAAATGCAATTGAATAACCCAACAGAATATTAAATAAAACGCAATTGAATAATTCAACAGAAAATTAAATAAAACGCAATTGAATAATTCAACAGAAAATTAAATAAAACGCAATTGAATAATTCAACAGAATATTAAATAAAACGCAATTGAAATTAAACAGAAAATTGAATTAAATGCAATTAAAAATTTAATAAAAAGTAAATAAAACGCAATTATAAATTAAAAAACATTTTAAATTAGCAAGCATTTGAAAAAAAGTTTTGAAAAGTTTTTGAAGTTTAATTTAATACTTTCAATAGCAATTTATTTCTTACTAAAAAATCAATTTAAACTTCAAAAACTTATATTGGACCTATTCAAACGCAGGTTTTTGAATTAAAATTCAAATAAAACATCATAAATAATAGAAGCTACTAACATTATTATTAAATTATCTATAAAGAATTTTTTGCAAATTGTAAATTTATAAATTATAACATAAATCAAATAATTATCGATTAGATCGAGAAAGTTAACCAAGTTTCCGTAGAAAATTCATTAATCATCATTAGCATTTTTTCTATAATTAAGCATTAATTAGAATTAATTCGATATTTAATTTAATATTACCCATTTGGTTTATAAAATTTATCATCATCTATTGGATTCTTCAATTGTCGAAAGTAATGGAGCTTATCGATTAGTTTTACGCTTACGAAACTTAATTTTAATCATCATTAAAATTAATGATAATGAAGAAATTTTCGTAAATGACTACATTTCTCATAATTATGTTTAAGTTATTACCATTAATCTTATTCTGCGTTTTAATTTTTAAAAAAATGGTAATGATTTGATTCGCTTCCAAACTTGAACTAGAATTGATTCTAGAAATTCTTCTTAAATGCGGTTAAATTTTAGGATTATTTTTTTCAAGTTTAATTTCTTGAACTACAGTCAAACCTCGATTTACGAACTTAATTCGTACCTTAAAGTTGTTCGGAAACCGAATCAAATTTTTCCATAAGAAACGATGTAAAAGAGATTAATCCGTTTCCGATCCCCGAAATAAAACCTTTTCTTTTATCTTTTTAGCTGTATTTCATGCATAAAAATGCCTATAAAAGGCAATATAATGTTATATATAATATTATTTATCTATATTTATACCTATATATATATATATATATATATATATATATATATATATATTCAACCGGGTGTAACATAGTTCAAGAATTAAACTACAAGATTGAATTAGATGCTTTAAGAATTTAAACATGAATTTTAGGTGAATCGTTTCTAGAATTAATTCGTCTCTAGTATAATTCTAAATTAAGTCATTCCTGATTTAATTCTAGAGCTAAACATCCAATTTAATTCTAGAACACTAAGACAATTAAAGTTACAATAAAGTCGTTTCTGGTTTAACTCTAGAATTTAATTTAATATTATAACAAAGCTTAATCGTAATTGAATTCTAGAATTACGTAATTTCTAGTTTAATTCTAAAATCGAGTTGTGTTGTTTTAGTGTAATGTTAGAACTTAGTTTAATTTAAGTAAAGTAAACTAACTCTAGAATTAAGTCTAGAATTTCTAGAATTAAACTAATTCTAATTTGTTTTTTAAATCTAATTTAAATTTCATTCTTAGAATTAACTTGATTTCATGTAAATTAGCTGAGTAATTTTAATTTTTAAAGATTTAATTACGGATATACGAAATATATAATTGATATCCCTTAACAATTCTTCAATAAGTTGAAGGTTAATTCAATTTTTTAATAAGTTCTCGTGATTTTTCATAAAGTTGAATTTAAAAAAACTTCTTTTATATATATCTAGGATGTCTGCTTTAAAAAATTGCTCTCGAGTACTGAAAAAAAAAATTTATTGCTTTACTACATCCATCAACTGCCATTGTGATATAATTACGATTAGTTCTTGGTCATTGAATCATTCTTATTGTAGCCAACTTAATGTATCTAGAACAAATTGCATTAATCAAAATTGACTTGATCGTTAGTGAATTTAGTTAGAAAGGTTGCTTTTTTAGATTTTTTCCTGAAGACACAATCTAAAAAATAACATATCTAGGAATCGGAGTATCATAGAAATCCATTGATTACTTGGAGCTTCGAGTTGATGAAATTCTCAAAGAATTTTCTACAAAATTATGAAAATTAATTTGTATTTTATTAATAAAATTATTACTACATTTTTTTCTATTTTTTTGACTTTCTTTTTAAAAAATATCATAAAAATAAACAAATTTTTTAAATAGTAAATTTGCATTGGAAACTTGAAAGGATTTATGTAATTTTATGATGAAAATTGATGAAAATGCTCTCAGGATCTAGCCTCAAGACCTTTTTCGTTAATTTATCCTTTATAAGGACAATGAAGAAGTTGTAGTTCATTGTCATTTTAACAGCAACATAAACTAATTTTACTCCTGAGAAACGTTATATATAAATTGTATATAGAATCATCGAACGTTAATAATAGAGTCACCTTCCAACAACGGTCACTTCTAAACCGCGGCAATTTTCTCAGGAACGTTTCTTGTTGAAATGCATACAAAATAACCTCCAAGTAACGGCCATTTTTACGTTATCGTCAGTGGTCGTTGTTTAGAGGTTTGACTGCATATGTGTAAGACTTCTTTTAGAACACTTACTTTTTTGAGCCTCCTACAAATGTGATGTCACAAAACAGTGTATAAATCTATAACAGAATTAAATGGCCATATTAATCACCGTGTTAAAGTTTATATACAGGCGTAATAATAATATTTTGAATATATGAGTATCAATTACAAAACTTATTAATTAAAACTAAAAAGTATTATAGATTATAACATAAATTTTATGATTTTCAAAAAAATTATAGTAGTTTTTATACTTACTGTACTTATAAATTGAAGAGAACAGCCAAATGTATAAGAGGTAGTTAGAAAAGTTGGATAAGAATCCTTAGAACTAGATATAGTGTAGCTATTTTTAGAAATTAATCTACAGCTAAAAGAAGGAGATGATAATTACAGAAATCTACAGAGAAGATTTCTTTTGTCTGTTCTAATTCTGAAATAAATTCCGAGTGTCTGGAATAAATCCAAAAGAAAAAATCACTGTAAAAAGATCAAACGCTTTCTTGACTTAGGCTATATTTTAGAAAATATGAAGCTTACAGATTTAAGAGAAATAAAGTAACAAAGTGAAAATTAATCAAAAGGCAATAATCCAACAAAAAAAGTTTAAAAGCTATATATCTTGATTCTAATATTCTTAAAATCATTGAAAATATTTTGAAGATAAAAAATACAATTAATTAGAACTTATATTAGTGTATAAGTCTCAAACATTGAGCTTGAAAATTAATCTTTACAGATTAAGTATAAACTACTACTGTTAATAATATATTTAGCCGTAATTATGTTCATTATAGGGAGGATCGACCCGAAGTGAGATCAAGCACAATAAACAAGAAATTGCATTGATAAAATAAGGCAACGTAACACTTGGTCAAATTGCCAAAAGTGGTGCCTCTCGGAGGACTTTCTATGGAAACTGACCCATTTAGGTTGTTAAACATGCGAAGAAAACTAGGAAAACTCCACGTTGATGAGGCGCAAACACGCGTGTATAAGTGGACACTAGTTTTGTACACCAGTGCACACTGGCGCCTGTTGGGGGAGATGGACACTCATAGATTCCTCATTTATGCTAGTCGACCTGCATGATGACAGCTATCATGAGTAAAGAATGGAAAGTAGTACTCCTATAAAAATAGTTGGATGGTTATGGAGGGTACAACAGCTTAAGTTTGTCGAATGAAAAGAAACAAATTGAATTTATGACAATTTAGGAGAATGATTCCATTAATTCTAAGAATATTAAAAGAATAAATATATAGACATTAATTCTAGAAAATATGAAAAGCACGGAAATAAAAAAATTGTTTAAACTTATGGTTGGTAAATTAGCTAGAATGAGATAAAATAATTTTATTAGAATTTCCTCGAATTACTCCGTTAATTTAAGAAATTAATGTAGTATTCAATAATTTAATTATAAAATAAAAATTAAATGGGTTAAACTATAATTTAATTTAATTATTCAAATAAAATGAAATTTTATCATGTATTATTAAATATATTAAGTTATGACAACTCGATAAAAATTAGAAATTGTTTTTGTGTGCTTAAGAGAAAAAAACTAATTTCCCTATTAAGTTTTAGGCATAAGAAACCTTTCCAAGGGCCTCGCTCATTCACAATTACATACTTGTCGATAATTGGCCTCGAAACTTGATAGTATTTAAGGTAAATATCTTAAAAACTATCAAGTTTCACGTAATAGAGACATAAGCCTCATAAATTCATACTCGGCTATGGCACATGCAACCTAAAATTGCCACTGAAATTAAAATATTATTGTTACATGCACGAGTCATCGAAGAAAAAAAAATAAAGATATATTCATAATTACATTGTTAAAAAAGTATATTTTTTATTCAAATTATAATTATTTTAATATTTTTTGCAATTATGTGCATGTTTCCATCATTTTTCAATTTATTTTAACTGAAAAAAATCGCAATACGCACAAACAGTATTCTATTGAAATTACTTCCTGAAACTCTCACTGGTGGCGTAATAGTTATGACTTTTATTTAATTACAATTACACAATTACCTGTTAATAATTTATGTTTTAATTTTAATAAAAACCAACTAAAAATAATATATTGTTAGAAAAATAATTAATTTTTATACAATTACTTTAAATTTATTCTCGAAATTAAAATTTTTAAGTAAGTATCGTTTAAAACGACATTTATTGATCGTTTTTTTAACGTTAAAATTATAAAAAAAATGTCAACAGCGAGGCGTTTAAAGTCGTTAAAATGTACGTAAAAATAATTTAAAAGGTATACTAATTTAAATTTTTAAACATTTTTTATTCTCCCCTCATTTTTATTGAGAAAGAAATTACCTGATATTTAAATTACAAATCAATATAAAAGTATTTAATATTCAGTTAAATAAATTTTAACCTTTTGTATTTTTTTTTAAAAAAGCAAATAATACTTTAGATTTTATTTATTATTATTATTATTATTTTCTTCAGTTATAATTTTTTTTTAAATAAAGCAATCTGTTTTATATTGATTAAGTAATTTTCTTCTATGTTAAATTTAAAAATTTATTATCATTATTTTAAACGTTTTTTTTTAAAACAGTTGGCCATTAATTTAAATATATAAAAATGAATTTTTTTTGAAGTAAATTATGAGTTGTTTAATAATTTACATTATTCATATAAAAGAGAGAATAATTTTTTTTATTGTTAATATTATTTTTTTTTAAATGAAAAATTTAACTAAAAATTATATTTTATAGATAAAAATATATGTACTTGTCTTAAGTTTTTAAATTAAAATTTATTAAACTTCATAAAAAAATATTTTATTAAGGTCTCGCTTCTGTTATTTAACACATTAAATATTGTAGATAAATAAAACAAAGTAATAAATATACTGTATACATAAAATATTCTTAATTATAACTATCTTAAGTATTTTTATAGCTTTATTTTCAATATTTTTTACCGATTTTTACTTGTAATTTGAAAAAAAAAATCGCAATATATCACGAACAATATGACCTTGGGATTAGTTTCAACGACGCTCACGGGTGGAGCCACAGTCGCACAATATTTGATGCAAGTGTTTTATAATTTAAAAAAAAATAGTAAATATTTTTAATGTTTATTCGATGAATTCGGGAGAAAGTATAAATTAATTTGCTGATGAATTTAGTGATAAACATAGTTCATAATTAATAAATAGTTAAATTAATTAATTAAGAGACATTACCCATGAGATACACACCCTAGAAATGTCAACCATGTTAAATACATTAAATTATTTTATTTGCCATGTTTTATCATTACATTTTAGCTTCTTCTGTACAAAAAAAAAAAAAAAAACATAATTTCCTTCACAAAATACTTTATTAATTATACAAACATGTGTCTAAGAAATACAAGTCTCATGAGTACTGTACTGTACATGTTGAGGGAAGACATTTTTTTAATTTTAATTTTAATTGAAAAACCTTCAAGGAATATTTGAATTGACAACTAACTTGAATTTCTAATAATATTTTACATATTATTGGAGTAAAGTGGTATTATATATGCAGATTTTTAAAATTAATCATCAGAACTGATGTGGTATACATACATAAATTGAGAGTGATGCTTTCTGTTTTTATATATTTTTAAATTATAAAATCAAAGTATTGAATGTAAATAATTAACTTAAATAATAGATAAAAGCTTTAGTTAGTTATATTTTTGTTGATTTTCTTCTTTATTTCTGATTTAATCAGTTTAAAATGCTGCCATTTTGAGTATTTAAAGTAATAACTATATATAATTAATTGTGATAGTTCATTATTATTTTTAAAAAATATTTTGCTGATTATAATGTTTTCTATCAAAGACTTCGTTTTATGTTACCACATCCTTTCTGTTCATCTCTTACTGATGAACTAATTCCTAATCTTAACTGATGCATCCCAGATCAGTTGTATCCTCTATTACCAAAGCAGACATATATCCTTTTCCAATCAGTATGATCAGCAACCATGTGATTTTCTTTTTAACTTTTCTATCTGCTGCATCTTTTTTTCTTAGTGATTACTTTCTTATCAACAAAATAAGTCTTTCTTCCTCACTGTCTTGCCTTGGTAACATTCTAATGAGGATAATCTTATCTTTTTCTATAAGATAGTAAACAGCTTTACTGAATACTTTAAGCATAATTAAGGGGATAGAAAGATGTTTATGTCAGTTAAATTAATTTCCAATGGTTTAATTATACTTTAATTAGTGTTTTAAGTTAAATTTTTATACATAAATATACTTATACACATGTTTTATCTGTTGTTTGTAAGCAAGTGACCAAACATTGTAAAACACATTAAGGAAATTCGTTTAGTTTATAGAAAAAAAGAAAAACGTAATAAAAACACATCTGTATATTGTTTTATTCAATATTCTCTTATAAAATAAAGAATTTTCTAAGATGGAAATTGGTTATTTTCTAGGAAAACAAAGAAGGAAAGTTTTATTTAACGTATATATATCTCAATTGAATTTTCGCATCAACTAGTAGTTTTTGTTTTCAATAAGAGGAAGAACGGATAACCGGAACGAAACAGAAAATAAATATATACATAAGAATGTAATAAAGAATTGGAACCGTTATAGAAAATTTGATATCGAAACTACATTTTCCAATACTGCAGTGTTTGAATTTATTTATTTACTGTTTTCTAAAGAAAAATGTTTCTACGGGTATGTAAAATTTATAGTAATTTGTATGCAGAAGACACAATTCTATAATTTATTACATCTAAGATGTGTTTCTACGTAAACAATAGAAATTGCTTAACGTCATTGCTGTCGTTGGTTTAACGTTTTCTATTGTCGTTAGCGATGACATTGATGAATAATTATGCATTTATACAAATTAGATAAGTATTAAGATGTAAAGGGGTTTTGTTATTTGCTGTTGATACTGATTTATTATTGTCGTCGTGTTGGCTTTGTTGCTACTGGTGTTGATGCTTTTGCCCTACTGTTGTTGTTGTTGCTATTGTTGACGCTGATAAATGGTTGTTGCCAGTGTTGATGTGTTATTATAACAACAAACAACAACAGCAACGTTAATTAATATTTTTGCTATTATTGTATCTGTTGTTTCTGCTGTTAGTAGCATTGTTTCTATTATACGACGATTATAATTACATTTTTTAAACGAATTTATTCGCATATAATTTTAACTTTAATCCAAATTCGAATTAAAAATTAAAATAAACCGTAGAAAAATACAACTTCTAATTTTTGTTAAACATACAATTCTATATTAGAAAATGGAATAAACATTAAAAAAATTAAATTAGTTTAAAAAGATCTTTTGAAAAGTTTACCCAAAAGGATTAAAAAAATAATTTTTTTATACATTTTCTAAGAGAAATTATAATAGAAATTCAAGTAGAATGACAAAATTGAATTATATTGAAAGAGTATTTTATATTCTACGTACATAGAAGAGTATTATTCCCAAATGATCAGTAAGATCTATCAAGCTTTGTTGTTATCCAAAGTTGAATCAATCAAATGATCTGTTAAAGATTTCTTTTTTAACTTCTTTCCTCCATTAGTTATTCTCCTTACGTCAGTTACACTCTGTACATTCGACCGAAAATAAAATAATAAAAAAAAGTTACTGTATTACAATTTTGAACAATATTTTATACTAAAAGAGGAATTTCAATTTAAAAAAAAATTAATATAGACTTTACAAAGGAGTTACATAATGCTTTAAGAATAGAAAGATATTGTCTGCAAGATTTAAAAAAAGCAGAAATGATATTTCTTACATCTAAAAACGTTTTACGAACTTTTACTTTAGAAGCTGTTATATGAGGGAAAATATGGCGATAAATCAAAAAAGACCCCCCAAGATTTTTAGGACTCGATGACCTTGAAATATTGAAAAATGGAAAACAAAATTCGGGGTGTTTTTTCCTGTGTATGGATGTTAGTGTGTGTGGGAGGAGCACGATTTTCTTCACCCAATTCGAAGCTTAATAACTCCTGTGTCTTTTGTCGAACATTTATGAAATTTTGCAGGGAGGTTTGTATATTAGGAGCATTGATGTTATGTAATTTTGATGGCTAAAGGTCGAGGGGGCGGGGAGATAGAGGGAGTGATATGTCACATCTCGAGTGGGGACGGACTTAATGAAGATTTTACTGTTAATCTTAGAAGTAGAGCGATGTAAAATTTCATTTTACAAATTAGAAAAAATTCAAAATTTGTAGTGTTTTTTTTTTCTTAATCTATGAGAAAGTGGTTAAGAAATTTTATTGAAGACTTACAGTACAATTGAATTGAAAATAATTGAAAAAAAAATACAATTTAACATTCAATGAAAATATTAAAAATAATTAAATATAAAACAAATACAGTAAAATTCAATAATTCTAAAAATCAATAAATGCATTTTCATACAACAATATTTTTTTATTTTATTTTATTACTAAAAATTAATGAAAAGAAAAAAATCAATAAAATTTTTTAATACATTTTAATTATTTAACATAATTCATGATCCTGTTAATTAAATATTAATTAATTTTAAAAAATACAAATAAAAAAAGAAAAAATTTCTGCATTTTTATAAACTGAATTTTATGCAGAAAACACGAGAAAATTGATGATGATCGATCACTTTCTGTAATTTTTATCTCGTTTATTTCTTGTGTTTGTGATCCTTCTTACATCTGGAAGAACAAGAAACAAGAAAAAAAAAACAAAATTCTAGAAACCTTGTTGACAAGAACTAAGATAAAAAAATAAAAAAAACACAAATATCATTAACTCGAAATGCTTTCTAGATTTGGAGAAGATTGTTTTTATAAAAGAAACTAGGTTATAATGTCTGTCTGTCACGGTCTTTACCTCACTATTTCTTCGTTTTGAGGTTATTTTGATGGTTTTATTAAATTTTTTTTTTCATAAACGTGTGCCAAGTAAATGTAATTTTCTGTTTTTGTGCTGTTTTAAATAATACATTAGCAATTTTTTAAGATAATGTCGCGACGTCGCTTCCATAGCGTCACGTCGTCGTGAGTGAAAAAAATGCACATAAAGTGTTATTTCAAAGTTATTTTGGATGCTTTATTTTGTTTACTATAATATTTTATGTAAATTCATGTTAAAATACGTAATTTATTGCGAATTTTTTAGATATGTGCGAAAGACGTCGCGACATCGCGCACCGCTTTCATTACGAAAACAATTTATTGTAATTTAAAATTATCGAATCATTTTCTTGTAAAAACACAATATAAATTATTTTGCTCATTTATTTAAACGAATTTCATTTTTAAGTTTCATAAAAAACAAAATAAAGGTGTATTTATAAGGCACGCGACGCGACGCGCTCGGATGCGACGTCGCTTCGGAGCAAAATAAAAATATCTGTAGAACAAGAAAAAACACATAAAAATGGAAAATAATTATAGTGATTTCTCACTTTTACATTGTATTACCCATTTCTCTCAATTTTTGATTGATATAAATTAGTTCCCATTAAATTAATTAGCATCCTTTAAGCAGTAACGAATGACTCCAATCAAAATTTCTCGTGTGCAGTTTAGAAAAAAAAAATGCAATTTTAATGGGAAAAAAAGCAGAAAGACGAAGATGCCAACGTAATATAAATCATATTGAAAAATCACTTCATGGATTTTCGGAGGTATATTCTTTATTGATCCATAAATCTCAGGTTATCGAAATGATGTCTTTAACTTAAACACGTGTATCGAAAAAAAAATAAAATAAAATTTTTAGAAAATATTTTAAAATTATAATTGATTTTTTAAGATAATTAATATAAAATTCTACTTTTATGCATATTTATTAAGGCTACACATTGCTCTTTTGTCAGATATTAACCTGACAAAAGATCAATATGTAGCTATTTTGATGATAACAATAAGCCTAATAATGGAGAATTTCTTTTTTTCTTTGATAAAATACATATTAAAAGCACTTTAAATATTCTTTTAAGTGGTGAAATCTTTAAAAAGAATATTGTGCCAATCAATAGAGAGCTTCAATGACTTGTTATTAAGTATGCCTGTTGGGTGTGTAAGTAATATCAGTGATAGGAAGTGAACGTTGTTATCTTTCTATGGCTCTGCGTACACGTGTTATCTTCTTCAATTTTTGATTTTTTTTCATTATTTCCCCTCGTTTTATTAATTGTTTTATGTGAAAAAATCTCAATTTTCTTACGGTTTAAAAATAAAATTGTGCTTTGTTGATGTTTTAAAATTTTACTAGGTGATTCGAAACTCCCCTGTGAATACAGGCAAGGGTTCACTTTACTAATCACAGAATATGATATGTATGGGTAGAATCTAACTGAACGTGTGTTTGTGTGTAAGTACACATATTGTTCTTACACACACTCACTCCCACGCACTTGCTTAAGCTCGCTTATATTTATGCTCACACGCTCATTTATACTTTATTATACTCACGCTCATATACACACTCACAGCATTTGTTTACTTTTGCTTATATTTATGCTCACACATCACTCTCACGCACTTGCTTACGCTGTCTTATATCTATGCTCACAAACTCTTGCAGATACGTACACTTGGTTATATTCACGCTCACGCCTTGCTCCCGATCACTCACAAACTCTCACGCTCACTATTACATTCATATGCACAATACGCTCACACGTTCATTACTCACACTCACGGACTCTCATATACTCACTTTCAAATACATCTGTTCAATTTGTCTGTGTTTTATACGAAAAAATTTGACTCACCTTGTATTTTTAAAGTGGTATATGCAAAACTTGATACTAGAATTAAATTGCTTAAGAGCCTTTTATGGTGTTTTTATAATTTAAATTAAAAAATTTTATATTGTTTTTATGCTTTTGGGAGAGTTTTTGGCATTCTTTAGCTTCACATTACTTCTAATTTTTAATTTGGGATTTGCTTCTAAACTCGAATTAAATTGCTAACACGTATGAAGACGTGAATTACTTCGTTTGTTCGGATTGAATTTAGTTTTACATTTTATAGTTAAACTATAGAGCGAATTTGTTTGTACTTTTTTATGTAGAAATAAAAGTACAAACAAGTAATAACGTATTTTCGTCAGGCCCAGATAAGGGAGGCTAACAGATTGGTATTTGGGCAGAGAGGGCCACAAAATTTAGTCTTGTAAGTAATAAAGGTCTTTCTGATAAATAATAAAAATTGTATTGATATTATTTATATATTTTTATGGCACTCGAAGAGATACTTTGGCCACTTATCCCATGCGACCAAGTAACGTGAGATAGGGCCTAAATCTGCAACAAAAGAAAGACCTACTTTTCTCCGGACATCATAATAAAGCTTTTTATCATTTATGAAAAATAAACTTGAATTTATATCGTGTTTTTATATTTATAATACCGAATTTCGGAGGCCTCTTTATGTTCGGGGGCCTGATTAAATGGTCCTGCAGCGCTTCTTCTATGTGCAGTACCTCTTACATTTTGGCATACTGAAGACACAGACCTGCATAATATATTATATAAATTACTTAAAGCATGCGTAATAAAGGTGAAGTAAGTAGAATTATAGAAACGTTATTTGAATGCAAATTTCTTCGAATTGAAATTTTTGCTTGCAAAAATTTTCTATTCAAATAATTAACGAATTTTTATCATTAAAATTCATTAAAATATTTAAATTTTTAATTGTTTTCTTTTCAGTTTAAATAATATTTCTGAAAGGGGAAAAAATTATATTTAAAATTCTCTCTAATTTTAACGATTACATATTCACACCTACAGGACAGCCCAAAAGTCAGTTAACCGAATTAACCGACTTAAATGTAATTTAAATTAATTTTATTAATTATAGTGCTGATTAACTAATTGATAAATTGTTTTTAAATTTCTTTAACACGAGTCGAACTCATTACAGAAATTGCTAATTCGAACGGTAAAAAAAAATTACTTTAAATAGAACAAAAATGTCAACAAAAACCTTTCAGATATAAAAATATAAAAATGTCGGCTATTTGCCTATTAGATTTAAATTCTCCATTGTAAATATTAAAGAGAATTTATGTAAACATTTAACATTGAAACGTACTTTAAATACTTTAATTCTTACCTTTTCAAGGATCTTTTCTTGGCTCACATCGATTCTAAATTTGATTCTATCAAAAGTAAAAATATTAAAATAACAATTTTAATTTTAAAATCGATTTTTAAATCTTTAAAATTTATCACATTTATCGATTTAAATTTTTCAAAATAAAATAAAATAAAATAAATTTAAATTTGGATCATTTTTCATAATAATCTTCAGCTGCGATTTAAAATAATAAATTCAATTTTATAATTAGTTTCTTTTTTAAAAAAAAATTATAAAAAAAATATTTTGCTATTTTTTGAAGCTTAGAAACATTTTTAGAATGCAAAATACGTTTGAATAAAACATTTTCTAGCAGAATGTTGACGTTTCGACATTAACGACTTACCAAAAAGTGAAGGGGAAAAAAAATAGAAGATATGAAGCAATTTGTTATAATTTTTTTTATTTTATATTTTTTTTTTAGTTTTTAAATTCTTTTCTAGTGTAGTATAGAAAGAATTTCCGATCGTATCCTACAGAATAACGTTTTACTTCATCTACTTTTCTATAGCCGTTCAATAAACGGAACCATCATTTGGAGTGGAGCCAATATTAAACCATCAAATGCCAGGAGTATGGACATAATATGAGCTCAAATTTACCCGTTTTAATAATTTTTTTTATACTTTATTTTTTTGTATTATTAAAAAATTAATTAAAAAAATTCAAAATTAAACAGTTGACTTGATAAAATAACCGTTATTTTTTCGATATCTCATTACGAAATCTACATGCGAAACGTCACGAACGTTCGTTAAGGTAACGAACGTTATTTTTAACGATAAAAATATCCGGATGAAACAGAATAGAATACGTTTACGATGACGATGATTGGGACTGAAACAATTAAGATGCGAACGTATAAGTAGAAAAATTGATCAGAACTGCTGCCCTGTTTAATTAGCTTACTAAAAAGGATCATGTAGAAAAGAAGGAAGGAAGGATAAACGATTAAAAAATGTTATGTCGAGATAATAAACCGTGTATAGATTTTTTGATAATTTGGCATCTTATATTAATTTTTTGTTTTTATTTATTTTCAAGAAAATGTTTAGATAAAACTAAAGTGTTTTTTCCCTTGTTCGTCTTTAGGAATTTCCTCAACTGTGAGGAAAATGAACTGAGAATGTTCAGCTTTCCAATACATTGTTTTCAGCTTTTTCTTTTACTGTTCTTCAGCTTCCTCATTAACTGTTCTTCATCTTTTTCATCTGAAGATGTTTTTCAGCTTCCCCATTCACTGTTTTTTTTTTTTTTAGAAATTTCTCTTCTTTAAGAGTTTCCTCAGCTAAATATACTATTTACCCTCTTCTCATCCCTTTTTCTGTCCATATTTTTAATAATTAAAAATTAAATTACTGATAATTATATATAAATTATATACGATTCGAATCTTTTACACGATTCTGTTAATTATTATATAACAATTTTAGGGTGTAACTGCTGATAGATTTTCTGAAAAAGTCTTCGATTAATGAAAGAAGAATAGGAATTTAATTCGAATTTATATCGATAGAGCTTTTACGTAATTTAAAATGTTTTAATGTAATTAATCATCCGAAGCCAGATAATCAATTAAATTTTGTAAATTTCTATTATACTAATTATCTGTTGTTCATTAACTTTAAAATGGCGAAAGTGTATCAGCGTTATATAGAGGAAGCGATGCGTTTAAAAGGAACGACGCGTTATCGCGTTGCGTCAGATAACGTGTTATACGCATAAAATTTTAATCACTATCATTAATTAATGTTATAACAGCAACTATAACCGAATAACGAGGCGTTTATTAATTTCTTTAATTTTTAAACTACATTATTTAATTAAGCAAGTTTAATTATTAAGTAAACTAATTAATTATACAGGATGTTTCGCGGTAATGTTTTTATAGCGTGTTCTGATAGCCTATAAATCCAAAAACTACCATAAACACAACTTTCAACGCGAATAGAAGGGTTTAAAGGTCAGACTAGCTGCCCCCTAAGATGCTGCTCTGCAGTACTGAAGTAAAGCCTTAATCTCTCCTCTCTTCAGCTTCTGTGCTGTGCTAAAGGGCCAAGAAATGCAAGAGAATCTTAAATTTTTACTAGTCTAAACTTTAACCTCTTCTAGTGTTAAAAAAAGTGCGTTTAAGAGGGCATTTTTGGTTGTTCTAGGCTTTTAGAATACGCTGTAAAAATATTAATTTAAAATATTTTTAAAGCTTATTTAATATCATCTTTATTCGTCTGAATATAAAAATTTCTCGTGTCTGTTAGGAAATTTTTATAAAATTAATGACGCTTGAAGGAGATAACAAACTAAAATCAATCCTATCAAATAATCGAGTGAGCAGAAAAACCTTTTATTTATAAAAATTTTTATTATATTTAGAAATTTGTTTCGATCTTTATCACTTGAAGAGTAGCTTCTAACTACGATATATCATTTGAAATAAATTTATAGAGATTTTTTTTTGCACAATTAAACTGTATATTTTCTACATTAAAGCTCAAAGTTGTGGGGGCATTATTGTATATAAAGATTTATATACATAAAATTAAATTATATGTATATATTTAAATTAAGGGTGTTAGGGAAGTGGCTTTAAAGTATTATCCTTATTGTATATAAAACAGTGGATCGAACGTTTTATTAATGATTCACACAATATGAATTACACTGGAAAAAATTCGATATCGAAGAATTTAGTAAGAATTCAATTCAAAATTTAATAAGCTCTGTTGCGAATTTTATCGAATTTTATAATACTTTGAATAGACGTAATACACCTCTACTTAGGTATAGAAATGTATTTTCAACAGGAAAGTCTCTAAAAATAGGAAGGAATAATAAAATAAAAAAGTAAAAAAATAAATAGGAGAATTTTTAAAATATTTTTTACATTAATTAAAATATAATTAAATTTAAGCAAATTATCAATTTTAAGCTATCAGAAGGACTTCAGTTTCTTGCTTTTTAATCTAAGAACAGTCCATTATGAATTTGAATTCACCCAAATTTTCGGCTCCATTAGATGGAGATTGATCATTTCTGTTTAAAGTTTTGACTAATTTCCTTTCAAGACAAGAAAAAAAAAAAAACAAATTTGAAACAACATAATTTCCTGAATTAATGGACAAACGTAACGCTTGAAAAATCACGAAAAGCACGATAACCATTATGTTCAATTTTTGTATTTTCTAAAATAAGAAAACGGTTGTCAACATATAAAAGATAAATGTAACAAAAATAAATGTATATTTAGAAGGAGAAATCAATGCCAAATGCTAAACAATACAATAAATATTTAAATTTTTTGAATACATAAAATGCGCTTAATATAGAGTGCGAGTTTACATAGAAACGTGCAACAACACAACAAAATATTGATCAAGTAAAACCCAATTTTATAATGAAAAATATTGATAATTTATATTTTTAGTTGGAGAAATTTAATATCTTCATTCTATTATAGAAACAAATCTCATTTGGTATCATATTTCAGCACATATAATTTATATTAGAGATTTTAATGTTACTTTATAAGTAATTCATGAATTTAACCTACGCTATATATATATATATAGATTATGTATGGGTAACCTGCTTACGTGTTTGTTTGCTGTTATCATTTTAAGTGTTCTGTACAAGCGATATAACGTTAAAGGATATCCTCTATAGTTTTCAAGGTTGGATCTAATACAAATTGTCTTAGAAGATGATGAATGGTCTTGGAAAATAAAAAATCTTGAATGGAGTGTAAGTGTTATAATAATAATTGATTAGAGATGCGTTAGGAAATGCGAGATACGTTATTTTATCTATTTCTAACTCGTTAATTAAATTATCATAAAGAAAATCGCATTTTCAATCAATTGCTGTTGAGAAATTGGAGTATCTCGAACTCCGACCAATCATTGTTAAGAAATTTGTACCTTCAAACCTTCAGCCAATCATCGGCCGGATAGTCGAGGCGGTTAAGGAGTCAACCTACCCTTCTGGGAGATCCTGAATCGAATCTGGACGGAATCGAATAACTTCGAGAATTTTCGGGGGTGGTACGTCATGAATAAGTCAAGTCCAATATATCACCATCCACCTCATTGTGGACTTGGCCGAATCCATGATGGACCTGAAAAAGACTTAGTGTCCACAGGATGAAAAGAGTAACAAAAAAATCCTTCAACCAATCGTCGTTATAAATTGTTCTTCCAACCAATCATCATTAAGAAAACCAATCAATGATAAAAAAATCGCATCTCTAATTGTGAAAAAATCTGTATCTTTAACGAATTAAGAAAACTTTACATCTAACCAATCGGCGATAAAGAAATCTCACGTCTAACCAATCAACGTTATGAAATTGATAAACTATATTCAATCTATCTTCAATATTTAGCAACGAACCACCTATATTAGTAAGATATTTTCTTCTTTTATTATGGATTTATCCATCATTATGACAACGGCGTATATATATATATATATATCCTATATTATTTTATTTAATAAAACTATTTATATTATTCTGAGGATTAATAAAAGTAACATCTTGCCTTTATATCTTAAAAAAAATTATCTAGAAAGTTTCACAAGAATTTTTTCTTATTTATCTCTAGAAAATATCGGCCATAAATTTTTTTTTTTTTTTTTTTAACAATTTTGTTATAATTCTGTTCCAGATAAAGATGAAGAATGAGAAACTTTAATCGGATAAATGCTATATAAAATTAAACTAACAAGAAGAAAAACTTATAGAATCATTATTTATTCTTGTTATTTTTTTTCAATTTTACATCTTTTAAAATTACAATTTTATTGTATTTTTAATACAATTTTTTTTTTGAAAAAAAACCTGTTTTATAAGTTATAAACTACATTTTGAAAAAGTTATATTTGATAAATGTTAATATGTTTTCAGGAAAAAAATTAGAATAAAATTCATTTTTTTTAAATACTCTCCGTCTTATTTTATTTAAGAAAAATGGAATTATTTCTTTTTAATTTTTAAAAATATTATATAAAAAAATGGATACA